TTACTACAATTTAAAGAATGATTTAAAAATATTGTCCCCAATTTTCAGAGAAAATTCCTCAATCTTTCTAATATATATCTATGTGTGTGTACATACACACACACACATTTTTTGAGAGACAGGGTCTCGCTCTGTCATACCCAGGCTGGAGTGCAGTGGTGTGATCATAGCTGGTTGCAGCCTCAAACTTCTGGGCTCAAGGGATCCTCCTGCCTCAGCCTCCCAAGTAGCTAGGACTACAAGCATGCACCACGACGCCTGGCTAATTTAAAACATTTTTTTCTTTTTTTTTTTTTTTTAGAGACAGGGTCTCACCATGTTGCCCAGGCTGGTCTCAAACTCCGGGGCTCAAGTGATCCTTTCGCTTTGGTCCCGCAAAGTGCTGAGATTATAGGCATGAGCCTGGCCCAGCCTCTTTTCTACCATATTTTAAAACGCTGGTACTACTTGTAGCTTATCTGTTTCCTAATGCATACAGAAGGCAAATAAATGGACAAGTAGCATTTGAGATCAATGAAACACTCACTAGCCACGCATCATTTGGCAGCTTTGTAAGCATACAAATGTTCATGGCTATGATTTTCATATTCCAGACCTTCTAAGAAAATCGGTTTTATAGTGCTTTGAAAAATAAAAACGTTCCTTAAAACAAACCAGCGAACCAACCTACAATTATCCAGTGCCCTTTACCCATAGTTTGACAATCACTGTATCCAGGAAATCTATTTTAATGGCTCTCAGTTGTGTAAAAGTTAAGGGTCATAAGAGCAAGTTTAATTTCAACAAGAGAAAAATATCACTTTATGATAACTGGGACTGCCCCATTGGGAATAGGGATGTAGAACCAAAGTGGAAACAGCATTTCCCATCTTTATAGTAATTTAAAATTCACACAGAAATTTCAAATATATGATTTCATCTAAACCTTGAGAACACCCCATGAGGTAGGTTTCAGTATTGCCAATTTTAAGGGTAAGAACGCACAATTTAAATGATTTGACCACAATCACCTAGCCACTAATGGCTAGAACTCAGGTCTAACAGTTTCAAATCTATTTTTGTATTTCCCAAAGCCTTGAATTTAGCTCTCTGGTCAAAGGCTTTATTGATCTAGGAACTGTCCCAAAGATAAAAGAAACATCCACCGTTTGGGGACTGTGGGCAAGAGAAGGAATGTGTGGCCCAGCACAGTCAGAACAACACTAAGGCCTCACTTCCTCACCCACACAATGAGGGTGTTACTTGACATTACCACCTACCACTCCCCAGTATCTGTAAGATCAAAGGTACTTGTATGTGATCATTTTAAAAGTATAAAATAAAAATGTTAAAAGTCATTGAAAGGCACGGTCTTCAGGAGACTGAGAGTCCATGAGTCTTTTTTTTTTTTTGAGATGGAGTCCTGCTCTGTCACCCAGGCTGGAGTGCAGTGGCGCAATCTTGGCTCACTCCAATCTCCGCCTCTCGGGTTCAAGCAATTCTTCTGCTTCAGCCTCCTGAGTGGTTGGCACTACAGGTGCCCACCACCATGCCCAGCTAATTTTTGTATTTTCATTAGAGACGGGGTCCCACCATGTTGGCCAGGTTGGCCTTGAACTCCTGACCTCAGAGCTCTGATCCACCCGCCTCGTCCTCCCAGAGTGCTAGAATTACAGGTGTGAGCTACCACGCCTGGCCAATTCTTTTTTTTTTTTTTTTTTTGAGACAGATTCTTGCTCTGTCGCCCAGGCTACAGTGGAGTAGTGTGATCTCAGCTCACTGGAAACTCCTCCTCCAGGGTTCAAGCAATTCTCCTCAGTCTCCTGAGTACCTGGGACTACAGGCGCATGCCACCATGCCTGGCTAATTTTTTTATTTTTTGTAGAGACAGGGATTTCATCATATTGGTCAGGCTGGTCTCGAACTCCTGACCTCAGGTGATCCACCCGCCTCGACCTCCCAAAGTGCTGGGATTACAGGTGTGAGCCACCACACCCAGCCTCTCATGATTCTTATCATCAGTATAGCTGAGAGTAGATGAATATGTATACAAAACAAAGAAAGAAAACCAGGCAAAAAACCTGACTGGTGTCCATAGTGGGCTGGTGGTGTGACAGACTGCTTGCTTTTTGCAGGGTAAAACCAAATTTGTAGTTTCCCCAGGTTCCAGAGACACGGAACCCTGAGCCCTTTCCTCATTCAGTATTTAAAAATGTTAAAAAAGGATGCAGTGGCCTTGATATAGAAGCTGTGTAACTGAATGTGCTAGAGGCTGAATGTTAAAATAAGCAGAATAGTCAAAGCCACCGTGGGTAATATAATATACTTAGCACAATTCTGCAGGACACCGTGAAAGGACGGGGCTAAAGGACCTGCTGAGCCTAGCTACTATTCTCATCAGCCCAGGGGCTGGCAGCTGCCTGACACTGTGGGCTGTGTCTTCCTTTATTCACTCTCAAAGAGTGGGTGTGGGGGGACTCTCCAGGAGTTGGCAAGGTGCAGATGGAAGGCTATGGAGCCAGTCGTCTCGTGCCTGGGAGCTGGGATAGAAATGGAGGGCAATGGGGCCACCTAAAGGCTTCCAGCCTCTGGTTTTATTTCATTCATTTGTCTGATCTGTAAATACTCACTGAGTGAATACAGGCAGTGTCCTTGGCACAGCTGATAAAGGTGGTAAATAAGACAGATGAGGCCCCACCTCAGACAGTGATAAGATAAGGAAAGACAGACTATGTCCTGATAAGGGCTATGAAGAAAAAGTGCCTGGGCATGTGACTGGGAGTGCCCGTTGGACCACACTGGGCCTTCTGAGCAGATGGCATTTAAACTGAGACCCACAAGTCGAACGACACAAGGGAACAAAGCTGAAGGGAAGGCTTTCCAAGCTGAGCACCAGCAAGTGCAAAGTCCCTGGGGTGGGAACGAGCTCAGCTTGTTGGAGGAAAGACAAGATGGAGAGGAAAAGCGCTATCAGCCGAGATTAGAGGGGCAGGCGAGGGCCACACCACTTAGGGCCTTGCAGGTTGCACTAAGCAGCCTGGATTTTATGCCCCATCAGTGATGTGAGAATTCGCCAGCACACAGAAGAGTTAACTGTCTAACTTACGTATTCAACAGATGAGTCCAGTCTGACAGAGCGCAAAGTAAATAGCACACTCCTGGAGTTCTCTATTAAAATGTCTCATTTTAGTTGATCTTTTCACTGAAACCCAAGAGAGGTCTTGGCTTAATTGGTATTAAAGTGTATACCAGTAACATTTCAGCAGGAATCCACAGGGATGAAACAAGCATGGAGAACCAGGAGACAGGAAAGAAGACAAGAAGGCAGGCAGGATGGCAGTCAGCTGGCTCTGGTGGCCCCAGATGCATTTCCACAAGCTGGAGCCAATTTCCTGAGCTACCTGGGGCATGTGCCTGGCTCTTCAACCCTGATCCAGAGGACTCCTGTGACAGCTGCACAGGACAGTTATTTGCCTGAGGGCCCTCATCCTCTGCCCTGTGCAAAGACGCCTTCCTCCTGGCTTCTGCAGCCCATGAGCTACCTAAGCAACAGCAAAGCAAGAACCTGAAGGGGTGTCAAAACGAGAATGCCTCCATCACCTCTTTCCCTTGTCTGATCCCATGATTACCAAAACAGGGAGGAAAAGACAGTCAGCCCCAGCTGGAGTTTACAGCCCACACTTTTCTAACCTTCTGTTCAAAATGAACTTGTCCAAGTACTGCCAGGAATACCTGAAAAGTGCAAAGGAAGAAAGCGCCTCTATTTCATTCCTTTCTTCCTTTAAACTACCCTGTATTGAATCATTCCTTAGTGGTTTTTGATATTTTTAAGCTACATCTAGCTCCAGTAAGCTATACAGTTATAGAGTACCACCTGATCAAGGCAAGTGTTTGCTTCTCCTTAGAGGGGTAAACAAATTTGTCTAAAAATAAAAATCAAAAACTGTCTTGGTGCCCTAGCTGCAGTCTGTCTTAGTAAGTGATGGTGGGAAGACTTGGTAAAGGATATGAACATCGCAATCACTTCAATCTTGAAGCAAGCAATCAAATACCTTTAATATTTTGGGAGAGAAAAAGAACCAAGCCAGTCCTATCAGTTCAAGGTCAAGAGTTGGCAGGGGCAACAATGGGAAAAAAGAAAAAATGATCAGAAGCAAAACAGCTGTCAACTGCTTCTAAGGAGCTGGAACAATTTGCTTTTGTGAAGAGACTGACAGATAAGAGAAAGGACGGCCACTCTTTCCCACATCACTCCTCCCACCAAAAAGAGCAGGGGAGGAAGGCTGGAAGGAAAAGTTTTGGCAACTTGAACTCCACATGGGAAGCATCCAGTCACTGTTCCAAAAGTTCTTTCCGTCAGAACACACCAACTACTTTCTACTTTTTAGACTGATACTTAAAATTGAGATATGGTGGACTACAAGAGACATTGAAACTCCTGCAGTCCAATGCACTTCACTGATGAAGATCCAAGCCCAGAAGGTTTTTCAGGTAGGGGCAGAGGCTGGAAGGGAACCCAGGTTTCCTGACTCACATTCCCTATTAATTATTATCACATTCCCTAATTTTTATTATGTGTTTTTATATTATAAAATAAAAAGACATTATAGAAAAGTAAGAACTGAACAAAAGTCACCCATTATCACGCTATCATCACTATTCATATTTTGTTCACTTTGTCATGTGCTTACAGGCTCCCCGCCATTGTCATAATCATATTGGACTAATGTTCTTTCCAATACATAGGCCCCTCACGTCACCTTTAACACCATCGAGGATGAAAAACTGAACACTGATATAATATGGAAATCAATCTGGTATAACCTGAACTGATTTTATCTTTGCTAAGGGCTAGTACCCTCCAAGACAAGTTTACCCCTCTTACTGAGTAAAACTATGCAACAGCAGCCTATTATTAGGGCTTGGAATTCAGATCCTTTTCATGGGGTGTTTAAGGCAGAACTTTCCACAGGGACATGCAAATCAAGATGTTTAACCTCAGAACATTTCTATTTACCTACCTGGTGCATCAGGTACTTGAAGAGGAATGAAAGGATCAGACACACTTAGAAGTGGGAGGCCAGAGTCCACAGTCTGCCCACCCTTCCTTTTTTCAGCTGGAGTTAGGTTGGAGGGGAAGGAGTCAGGAGAGAAAAAAAGAGAAAAGCAAAAATACCAAGTAAATCTAGGTAAGTTTACCCTCTATTAATGCAACAGTTCAAACTACAGAGTAAGTCTAAGCCTAGAATAAAAGGGGATGAGTGGCTGTAGCCCAGTGAACAGCAAAGTATCTATGAGATATTCAACCTGGTCCCCTCCCCCACTTTTTTTTTTTTTTTTTTTTTTTTTTGAGATTATGTCTCGCTCTTGTCCACCAGGCTGGAGTGCGATGGTGCAATCTAGGCTCACTGCAACCTCCGCCTCCCCAGTTCAAGCGATTCTCCTGCCTCAGCCTCCTGAGTCGCCCACCACCACGCACGGCTAATTTTTGTATTTTTAGCAGAGACAGGGTTTCACCATGTTGGTCAGGCAGGTCTCCAACTCCTGATCTCAGGTGATCCGCCTGCCTCAGCCTCCCAAAGTGCTAGGATTACAGGCGTGAGCTACCGTGCCTGGCTCAGTCTGGTCCTTGTAACATATTATGAGATGCAATTAATGATAAAACCAGGATATTCATATGTCTGAAATTCCACTTCTTTCTTGGATATACTGCAATCTACAGTATTTCAGAATGTCTAGAGGAGGTATTGTGCATATCACACATTTTAGCACATAAACATTAACACTACCTGTTTTGTAATCTAGCATGTGTATAGGTACTTCCTATGTGTCTATCACCCTGTTGAGGTCCTTTAAGGACTAAGTCCTACTATATCACCATGATGTCTAATACAGTGATAGGTAGACACACAGAAAGCGGCAGAAAAAGACTTCTTGCCTATTGCAAAGTTAGACAAGCCCTAATCTCTGTACTATATTTAATATGCGATTGGCATTCATTCTATATTTGGCAAAATATAGATTTACAGAAATCTATACACCCTATGGAATAACAGAGCTTGACGTGGTCTCAGAATTTTCTGGCACAATTTTCTTATTTCCCATAAAAGAAAATGAAGCCTAAAAGTTAAAGACTAGCCAGAGGCAGGATCAGAAGCCAGGTTTCTTGGTTTCCACATGATCATTCTTTTTTTCTTTTTTCTCTAAGAGACTGAGGTCTTGCTATGTTAACCAGGCTGGACTTAAACTCCTGGGCTCAAGCGATCCTCCCACCTCAGCCTCCCTAGTAGCTGGGACTACAGGCACACACCACCACATGCAGCTTTACATTATCATTCTTTTATTTTCTTTCTTTTTTAATTTTTGAGATGGAGTCTTGCTCTGTCACCCAGGCTAGTGTGGTGCAATCTCGGCTCACTGCAACCTCTGCCTCCCAGGTTCAAGCAATTCTCCACCTCAGCCTCTCTGCCAGGTGGCAGGCGCCTATAATCCCAGGTGCCTGCCACCACACTGGGCTAATTTTTGTATTTTTTAGTAGAGACCGGGTTTCACCATGTTGTCCAGGCTGATTTTGATCTCCTGACCTTGTGATCCACCTGTCTCAGCCTCCCAAAGTGCTGGGATTACAGGCGTGAGCCACTGTGCCCGGCCATACATTATCATTCTTTACTCTGCATTTTAGTATTCAGTTTGTTCATTAATTAAAATCTCATTTTGTTTGTCAGCTGTCTTTCTAGAAAAAAAAAAGCCTCATTTTGTTTCTATAAAGTGGGTTTTTAAAAAACGTTTTATTTTGAAGTTATACAGAATCACAAGAAGTTCCTGCACATAGAGTCCTATGAACCCTTCAACCAGCTTCCCCCAATGATGTCTTATATAAACTGTAGCCAGAGATCGCCAACATCGGCACAGTACTGTGGCCCTAGGCTCCTCGGTGCTCACCAGTTGTTACGTGGCCCTATTTGTGCATGTGCGTACTGTTCTTTTCTTCTTCCCTCAGTGCTGAGGTCGTCCATACCTCCGGCTCTGGGACCCCACCCGCACCCTCTGCTCCATTCTCCCTCCACATCACCCCACCCCACCCCACTCATGTCTCTCTGCCTCTTTTCATCTCGCTGCCTGGACATCCCTGTCTTTCTCAATGACCCCTGAATCCCTCCTTCTCAGCCTGAGTGGTGCTGGGTTGAATTTGGAAATCGTAGGGCTCAGCATCCCCTCTACTAATCCCCTTGGCCTGGGCCATCAAATGTGGGACATTTCTTTTCACCTCTCTTGGCCTCACTGTTGTGTCTGTAAAATGGGCTTGTGGAGGAGTCAAAGTGCTGGGCATGTGTCGGCATCACTGGCAGCATCTCCGTGGGCACCTGGCTCTGATTTCCTTCTTTCCCTGTCTCGGACTTTACCTGTCTCTGAATCTTGGTCTCTCTCCAGTTCTGCCTCTGGCATGAGGAGGATGCTCTGGGGTCTACTGGGCAGCTGTGATGAGGTGGGAGAGTTTCCACCCCACCCACCTCTATTCCACATTTCTCGTAGTCAGTGGCTGACCAGGCCTCTTTCTCCCCACCTCCCCTGCCCCTGAGAGCCCAGTGCCCCAGTTCCTTGCCCTTGCCTACTCAGTACCCAGCATCTCTTGAATAGACTCTGCCACTGTCACAGCAGCCACCTCTGCCACCCTTAATGCTACCTCCTCGGGGCCAGCAAGATGTAGTCTGAGATGCATGATCACGTGGAAGGCAAAGGTGGGATTGCTGGATGGACCGGCAACCTTTCCAGCACCTGGAATCTGGCCGCCTCCTTTGCATCCTGGCTTCAAAGACATATGGGCTTTCACTCCAGAGGCCCTTGAAATGTGGGAACCCAGTGCCCCAGGCCCAGACACGGAGGAGGCGGCATGTGTGATGCCTACCATTCCTCAGGTGTGCAGGAATCTCCCAGCCTCAGCTCAACTAGATGGGTAACGGGCAAAGGCAACAGGGACGACAGGGGTGTTAATGCCCAGATGTGGCAGAAGGGAATGGGGAGGTGCAGTGGCATCCCCTCAGTGGGTAACCTCCTCCGTCACCTCCACAGCCATGTCCTACCCAGTGGTCGGTCAGCCCCAGTGTGCCAGCAGTTGCTACCAGACCCAGCTCAGTGACTGGCACACTGGACTCTCACTGGACTCTCAGGACTGTGAGCATCTGCCCTCTTCATCTCCAGGTCTGCCCTGGGAAGTGGGGATGGGAGGCAAGGTCACTTCCAACCCCCACTGACACACTACCAACCCCACCTTTCTTCTTTGGACTCTGAATTCCCACTCTCTATCCCTCAGTCCTTCCTTGGACTTCCAACACTCCTTGGGATCCTAATCTCACACCTTCCAATGCTCAACTTCTTGGACCTTCAGCCTCCTTCTAGGACCCCCAACTCCTCATTCAAACCATATTTCTCAACCTTTAAAGCACTCCCTCCTGGGGCCCCTAGTTCCCTCTGGGACCTTCACTTCCTCCAACCTGTGTGTATAGTTCTTTGCAACTTGACTCTAGGTGTAGATTAGAATGAGCACCACTGCAATCATGATACAGAACTGTTCATGAAACCAAAGACCTCCTCATTCCACTCCTTTGTAGTCACACCCACCACTTATTCCTGTTACTATTCTTTGGAAACCACTACTCTGTTCTCAGTCTCTATAATTTTGTTATTAAAATGGGTTTTAAACTAAGTTTCTTTAAAGGTAGGAGGAGGAAAAGAAAGATAAAATAACTGCTTCTAAGTCCCTGAAATATTTTAAAATGACACAATGAAACATATTTAAAAGAAAAAAAGCAAACTGCAAAACTGAATACGTGGTGTAGGTCATATCTGAAAAAAATTTATATGCAGAAATACAATTCTAGATAGAAATACTGTAAAATGTCAGCAAATGCTCTTCTCTCAAGGTGGGGTTATAAGATTTTATTTTCTTTACTTTGGGCCTTATTCATTTCTCCACATTTTTATAAATGAATATGTTTAACTTACACACAGGAAAACATATGAAAATAAAGAGGCACCACGTGAAGTTTTAAATGTTTGCCTGTTTTTCCTCCAATGTATAGACACAGTACGTCATTTTTGCAGCTTTTACCATACAAATGTTTAATATAGCCCCGTGCCATCCTCCTGAACCCATTATGAAATTTCCTGCTTAGTTTCTCCTTTGATCAGTCAGAAGGTTTAAAATCTGTAAACAGTCTGAGTTCAGTTACAAAATTTATAGAAAATGATGTCATCCTGCCCTTTGTACAAATGAGAGCAAATGAGTTCCTGGGATCTAGACATAATTTTCTTTCATTTGTAAAGAATGAAGGTGTCACAGAAAGGAAACATTTACACTGCAAAGAAGAGAGAGGGGAAAATATCAAATGTTCATAGTAAAAGACCAGATAAACTGAGGAAACTATGAAGACACTTTTTAATGTTTGCAAAAGCTTAGTGTTGCTGGTTTATGAGATTCCTGAGACGTGGATATAACTACAGTTTTTGATCTGAGCTACAGGTACAAATCTCTATTCTGTCATTATCCAGCTGTGCCCTTGAGCAGGTGGTCTTTGTGAGGATCACCTGAGATAATGAGCAAGAAAAGTGCTTACCCAGTGGGTTTAACATGTCTCATGTGCTTGATACATGTTCAATGTTATTACTGTCATAACTTTACTCAAATATGTGTTTGTGGCTGTGCCTTTAAATCCCTTAAAAAAAATACACACACACACACACACACACACTCACTCATTTGCAGCCTTCAGAGTAAACATAAAGTAGTGGAAAGGCAGAAACAAAAACAAATAAATCTCATTAAAAAACAGCTCACACAAACAATGAAACATAACCATGTGTAATAGATGAGAACTAGGCATTAAAACTTCCACGAACAATCATTAAAACTGGGGTTGGTAGGGTGAGCAGACGGAAAATGATCAGGGACCTTGATTGTTAACACTGGTGAATCCAAGGTCCTAAGCTTTGGCACAAAGCAACCCTTCTTATTCATTTAACACATCTGTATGGAGCCAAACATTGTGCCAAATTCTGGGATTCGGCAGCAAAGAAGACTCTCAGGGCTTATTCTGTGACCCTCTTTCCAGACAAACTATATCCTACCCAGGTCCATGGCTAATCATCATTTCGATGTTCCATTTCAAGGACAACAGTCAGTGCTTCACACATTTGATATGTTTGGTCAACTATGTGGCATATCTAACTTCAAGCAGCATGAACTGGTTTTGGAACATTTTCAAATTTCACCAAAATATCAATATACTTAAAAAATTTACACAAACAAAGCTAAAAGTGAAACAAAAATCTTTAACTACTTAATAATGAAAAGCATACCTCCAAAATAATAATGAGAATATCATACAAAGATTTATGAGCTATGGTTAAACTCCACACAACTCCATTTTTTTTTTTTTTTACTAGGGAAATACACACTTATTAGAAAGCATTCTCAATAAACAGAGTAAACTCCAAAGGTTGAAGTGAGGCAACTGGAGAAAGAGAAAACAGGACAGTGGAATATTTTCACATGACAAAGCCTCTCTGAAGATTATAATTAGCCTCCCTCCCCACTTTTGCGCTGGGTGAAAATGACTGTCAAATTGTGAAGAAAAACTCACAGCCCGAGTACTTTATTTTTTAAAAAAGAATTTGAAAATATATTACTATGGGTTCCTCTTAATATCACCGAAGCAAATAGAAGAAAAACAAGAAAACGGCCAGCCACGGTGGCTCATGCCTGTAATCCCAGCCTTTGGGAGGCCGAGGTGGGTGGATCACCTGAGGTCAGCAGTTTGAGACTAGCCTGGCCAATATGGTGAAACCCCGTCTCTACTAAAAATACAAAACATTAGCCGGGCATGGTGGCATGCACCTGTTGTCCCAGCTGCTTGGGAGGCTGAGACAGGAGAATTGTTTGAACCCAGGAGGCGGAGGTTGCAGTGAACAGAGATGCCACCACTGTACTCCAGCCTGGGCAACAGAGCGAGACGATGTCTCAAACAAACAAACATGAAAATGTAATAAAGATAAAAGCAAAAGTTAAATAATAAAAAAGAAAACAGAAGATTGTATAAATCTAAGTGTTGTCTCTGAAAATATAATAAAACATCCAACCTCTAGCTACAGTTACCAAGAAAAAGAGGAACACAAATACATACAATTAAAATTAATGTACACAGATATTAAAAGATACATACATATTGTTGTACTTTAATGAAAAATTTTACAACCGCAGATGATTTTCTAGGAAAAGATAATATGTGACATATGAAGAACACTTACAAAATGAATCTAAAAGGCAAAGGACACAACACAAATCTCAAAGAACTAAAAATGGGTCAGTAAATAAGGTTCTCTGGCTGGGTGCGGTGGCTCATGTCTGTAATCCCAGAACTTTGGGTGGCTGAGGCGGGCAGATCATCTGAGGTCGGGAGTTCGAAACCAGCCTGACCAACATGGAGAAACCCCGTCTACTAAGTAAAGTACAAAATTAGCCTGGCGTGGTGGTTCATGCCTGTAATCCCAGCTACCTGGGAGGCTGAGGCAGGAGAATCGCTTGAACCCGGGAGGCGGTGAGCCGAGATTGTGCCATTGTACTCCAGCCTGGACAACAAGAGCAAAACTGTCTCAAAATAAAAAAATAAATAAATAAAATAAAAATAAGGTTCTCTGTCTACCGTCTTTGGCCTGGGCTGTGCTGGGCTAGATGGAGAAATGGCAGGGAAAATGACTCTCATTCACTATTAATTGAAATAAAATTTATATAGCTTTCTTAGAGTACAACTTGAAAACATGTATAAAAAACCTTAAAATATACATACTTTTGATTTAGCACATAGTCTCTTAGAAGTTATCTTAAAGAAACTGTAAAGGATATAAACAAAAATTTAGCTTCAAGAATATTTATATGGTGAAAAATTGGTAACAATGCAAATATTCATAAAAGAGGATATTAAATAAATGTTACCATTCTTCCACGAACAATCATATTGTAGATTAATATTTATTGACATGGAAACTGCTAATTTCCAGAGGACATTTAAAAATGAATAACAAACTAGGCCACAGGCAGCCCTTCAGTATACTTTACAGCAAAGATTGCACAGGCCATATTGGTCACAATGCAACGAAAACATAACATGAGTAACTTTTGGTTAAAGAAGAAATTGAAACTTCTATTTAAAAATATCCAGAAAATAAGAATAAGAGAATATTACATATCAAATATTATGAAACGACAACGTTCTATTCACAAATAAATTTATGAGGTTAGAAAAACTACTAACATTCCTAAAGAAAGCAGGCAGAAAGAATATATGATAAGGTTAAAAGTAGACGCTAATCAGTATAATTAAAAAGATCACTTTTAGAAGCATGCCAAATTCTGTATCTTACGAAGAATACTTTCAAAAACTCACATTCATTGCTGAAGTATTTATAATAGTAAATACTGAAATAAAGTTAATGTTAAGAAAGGTGCGATTGGTTAAATACACTAGGATATATCATACATCTAGTATATCCTAGAGGTTTTGTTTTGTTTTTTTTTTTTATGAGACAGGATCTCACTCTGTTGACCAGGCTAGAAAGCAGTGTTGCAACCTCAGCTCAATGTAACCTCTGCCTCCTGGGGTCAAGGGATCCTCCCACCTCAGCCACCTGAGTAGCTGGGATTACACAGGTGTGTGCCACCACGCCCGGATAATTTTTGTATTTTTTGGTAGAGACCAGGTTTCACCATGTTGGCCAGGCTGGTCTCAAACTCCTGACCTCAAGCGATCTGCCCACCTCAGCCTCTCAAAGTGCTGGGATTACAGGCGTGAGCCACCGCGCCTGGCCATATAATGGAATTTAATGCAGGTACTTTTTAAAAATTATACTTTAACAAAATTAGCTGGGCATGGTGGCACATGCCTGTGATCTCAGCTATTCGGGAGACTGAGGCAGGAGAATCATTTGAACCTGGGAGTTGGAGGTTGCGGTTAGCCAAGATCGCGCCATTGCACTCCAGCCCCAGCAACAAGAGCGAAACTCCGTCTTAAAAAAAAAAAAAAAAAATTATATTTTAGGGGCTTCTTTAATGATGTAGGAGAAATATGCCAGGTTCATTAAATGAAAAAATTAGGCTTCAAAATATGTCTATAAAGATGCATATCAGGTTGGGTGTGGTAGCTCATGCCTGTAATCCCAGCACTTTGGGAGGCCGAGGCAGGCGGATCACTTGAGGTCAGGAGTTTGAGACCAGCCTGGCCAACATGGTGAAACTCCATCTCTACTAAAAATACAAAAATTAGCTGGCCATAGTGGCACACACCTACAGTCTCAGCTACTTGGGAGGCTTGAGGCATGAGAATCGCTTGAACCTGGGAGGCGGAGGTTGCAGTGAGCTAAGATTGAGCCACTGAACTCTAGCCTGGGCTACAGAGTGAGACTCTGTCTCAAAAAAAAAAAAAAATTCTGGTCATGTGTATTTTGGTTAGGGAGACCTACAACTTTGATTAGCTTCACAAAGATATCTGTGCCTCTCAAAAGGTCAAATGCCACTAACAGACATCAAGATGGTATCCCTGGGCTATCTCTTGGTGGTGAGGTCATGGAGAATTTTAACTTTCTTCCCTATAAATTACTAACTTTTATACAATAAAAATGTATAATTTTTTATTAATAGAAGGGAAAAGTTTGTCTCTTATGATTGCTTCTATACTTTTAACAAAGTCTCATTAAAAGAATACCTCCCTCCTTTTTTAGAAGTCTCATTAAAAAAACACCTCTCCTTCTTCCCAACAGCACGTGCACGCGCCCACACACACACACGCCCACACACACACACACACACACAGTTTAGAGGAGTGTTAGATATAACAGAACACTTAATTTTTAAAATTCTTCAAGTCATCTCAGAAACCTAAGAAATGACAAGCAATGAACATTAGGTGTTTCTCAAATCTAGAAATACTTGTTTAAGACGTGCCTGTGGACTAGAGAGAACAAGTCCTGCATATTACTGCCAGACTGTCCTGCCACTTTAATTTAAAGTGGTCCTAGATCTTTATCCCTTTTTGATCAGAAACCTTTTCAATTAAAAAAAGTAAGTTTTAAATTAAATAGACTATGAAAAAAAAAATATATATATATATACACACATGTTACTGCCAGGATTTGGATTTCACTAGCATGTTAGAGAAATCTGTGGAGTGAAAAACAGCGTGGAGGTAACAACAGTGAACCTCATGTTCCAGCTATTTGCCATACTAACCAGTTCCAGCAGAAAATGAGGTCGTAGCAAAAGCATCACCTTGGGTTGATTGAAAGCCTGGGATCAAACTCTCAGCTGAGCCTCCAAGCTTCTCGGGATGTTTGCCTGGGGAGACAAAACACCACTCAGTTCATTCTAGAAGAATCTTGTGAGGCACACACACGGCAGAGGTGAGGGGCATTCTCTGAACTGACTTCTGGACTTGACTACTTTTACTGCATTATGGCGACACATTCAAAGGTCCTTGTCTAGTCAGTGCAATAACTGAGAACAGCTGAGAAAAAAAAAAGGAGATTGTTAAGAATCAAAAGAGAGCATATCATCAGTTTTGCAAGATGAAAAGGGTTCTGAAGATTGGTTGGTTGCACAACAGTGTGAATGTACTTAACACTACGGAACTGTACATTTAATGCCTCCCGCCCTCACTTGTAATCTATCCACTTTATATAGCTCTAATGAGTTTGATGATCTGCTTTCCACGTTGGAAGCAGTTTAGGAGAGTAAATGAGAAGAGGGAGTGGTGGAGATGGCCATAATGAAATGTTATGAGGGACAAGCATAATGACAGTAGCTTAATGTGAAAGCTGACAGCTGAACAGTAAGAAAAGGGAGAGGAAATTATTAAAACTCAGGGGCTAGTTATTTGGGTGCAAAAATACTACAATTTTCAATAGTCTAGGGAGGTATTTCTATTTACAGTCCAGAATAACAACTGGTATACATAACAATAAAACAAAGTTGCCAAAGAAAGTTAAGTACTATGCCCTGTCTTCTGTTTAAAAAAGCAAGAAAGTAATAGGAATTTTTTTTAACAGACAGAGTCTCACTCTGTCACCCAGGCTAGACTGCAGGAGTAAATTCATAGCCCACTGCAGCCTCGACCTCTTGGACTCAAGTGATCCTTTCACCTCAGCCTCCCAAGTAGCTGGGACTACAGATGTGTGCCAGGATGCCCAGCTAATTTTTTAAATTTCTTGCAGAGATGGGATCTTGGCATGTTTCCCAGGCTGATCTTGAATTCCTGGGCTCAAGTGATTCTCTTGCCTCAGCCTCCCAAAGCACTGGGTTACAGGCGCAAGCCACCACAACTGCCCTTAGAGTTTTAAAAGATTTCTATTAAATGATAGTTAAGGCCAAAATGTTTGGCCAATAGTTCATACCATTCAATTGGTTCTCATCACTCCTTTACCCTGTGCCCTTATCTACATTGAGAGTACTCTTTTTATTAGAGTACTCGCTAACATTATTAGAATTATTAGAATTATGCATGTTAGAATTTGTTCCAAAGTGTGTGCATGTGCCTCTGAGTGTGTGTGTGTGTGTGTGTCCTGCCTTCTAAAGTAGACAGTTCTTCAGGCAGAAGTATATCTTCTATTTATTTAATCATCTTTCTGTGTAATACAGTAATACAGAACTCTGATCATAGTGAAAGAAAGATTCAGTGTCCATGTGAAGGCACATTCATGGACAAGCGGTGCCAACTTTCTGGGACAATAAACCAACCTAGGATGAGGAAAGCATCACACTCCTCCAAGGAGGGACCATGCCTGATGCTGTTATCCCGGACTACGTCACAAACCTTTCCTACAAGTTTCTTCCCTAAGCATCGCACTCTCCTTGCTGCCACCCACAATAGATCAGGATTTCCTGAAGATGAGGACTTCAGGGCCATGGTAAAAATAAAAACCAATTTGTATGCATACTTTGAAATCAAGCCTTATGGAAAGGCCCAAGCCTACGTTTTCACATGCATACCCTTCTAGAGTTACGATTCTTTCTCATTCCTGGTTATTTCTTACAATCAAGAAGCACAAAAAAAGACACAGCTTACTCACCTTCCCCCAGCTTGGCAAAGTCCTTGTTTAGCAGTTCTTCAGCTGTGAGTTTGGAGAAATTATCGTCATCGAAGGGATTCCACGTAGAACCTTCTGAAGGATTATAAACGTTTTGTTGAGAGGTCCGAGGAGAGCCTGATGGAGTGGTGGTTGCAGACCTAGGTAGGTTCCCACCCCCACGAAACAAAAAGATATAAAAGTTGAACAAAACAAAAAGGGTCAACTTATTTTGTCTTTGTTTCAGGATCAAATTCTTTTCTGGGTCAAACCTTCATTTTCCAGGTCAAACCTTCATTTTTCACCATAGTACTTTTTTTTTTTTTTTTTTTAAAGGCAGAGTTTTGCTCTTTCACGCAGGCTGGATTACAAGGGTGTGATCCAGACTCACTGAAACTTCTGTCTCCCTGGTTCAAGTGATCCTCCTGCCTCAGCCTCCTGAGTAGCTGGGATTACAGGCGCATGCCACCACACCTGGCTATTTTTGTATTTTTAGTAGAGACAAGGTTTCACCATGTTGGCCACGCTGGTCTTGAACTCCTGATCTCAGGTGATCCACCCGCCTTGGACTCCCAAAGTGCTAGGATTACAGGCGTGAACCACTGTGCCCGGCCCACACTGTTTTCCTAAAAGGGCTTTCCACAGCACCTGAACCATTTCCACAGATACCCATTCCACTTTATGAAATGAATGTCTCCTTTCCTTCATGACTCACTACCTCCCACTACTTCCTTAAATCTCTTGCTTAGCTTTTTAGTCTTATCTGTAAGTTGTTTCAGTTCAGGATCTAAAAGCAACCTGTTCTTAGACTTGTGTACCTTGTGGTGACCACTATAACATCTATAATAACTGATCCCTAGAGGGGCAGGAAAGAGGTGTAGTTAGGCTGCCTCTCATCTCTCAGGATCCAGCATGCATAGAGTTAAGGGCCACCATCACAATTAAAAAGAAATAAAGACAGTTAACACTACTTTGTGCATCTAAGTATCATTATATTATTTTCTTACAAAGTCTCTCTTAACTTCATTGAAAGATGTTAATTTTAGAGTGCCTGGTTCCAAGACAGTTAAGGGTCTGAAATTGCATTTACTCAACACTCATCAAAATCTACTCGTCAGGCACGGAACCAGTCACTGGGTTTCCAAAGGTTGACTAAGACATGGTTGTTGTCACAAACCAGTTCAATCAGACATACAAATAATGAATGACAATATAATGCCATACAAGCTCAAAAAAAGGTTCAGATAGCAATTATACATCATATCAGAGGAAGGGTCAAGGAGAAGTCAACCTCTGACATGGATCTTGATGAATAAATGAACATTCCCTAGGTGGGCAAGGAGGAGCATGGCAGTCCCAGGAGAGGGCATAGGAGGAACAAATGGCTTGGGAAGGTGAAGAGTGGCAAGTCTGCCTGTGAAACACAACAGGCCCTCTGTGTTAAGCAGGGTGCTCAGCTATCATCTGACAGGTAATGAGGAGCCAATGAAAGGTTTTCAGCATGGAGAGACTCGGTCAGATCGAGAGTTCAGAAAGCACACTGTAGAGCATGGAACAGGTGAGAGAATGAGAACAGTGGGCCAAGCAGGAAAAGATTTCTTAAGATTACTATGGCTCATGCACTAAAGACAAATTCACAGTTGCTCATTAAACACAAGTACATGCAAGATGTATGTATGTACATGCAAGAAGCCAGAAAAATAAACAAACCAGAAAAATAATTAAACACACACTAGTACACACCACTGTATTTGCATTACACACATCTACACACTTATGCAAAGAATTACACACTAGCAGCCGCAGGCAGACCTCGCTCACAGAGGTAAGAACAACAAAGAGGAAGCACCACATACTTGGACTTATTGAGACTGGCCTCAGCTGCAGCTGCCTGGAGCAGCTGGGTTGATTTGCTGGCAGGGACCCCAAAGACGGCACTGTGGGTTACGTCACTGAGAATACGCCTGTGCCCAGCACGCTGGGTTTTGGGGGATGAGGGTGGAGTGAGAGATCCAACTTTCTGTCCCTGGACGGCAGGAGGTGGGGTTGTCTGAACCTTTGGCTGTTGTCTTACTGGGGCTTGAATCTGCTAGGAAGAGAGATGGAAAATGTTTCATTAAATTAAAAAAAAAAAAAATTAAAGGAAAAACAAACAGAAAAGCGTAACAACAAAAAAATGCCACATAAGCGCTAACATGAGACTCAAATGGCTAATTTTATCAATAACGCCCAGAAAGAAAAACCCAGGCTTTGACAATCTGTGCTGCAACTTTGAGACTGATAACAACGTGGTATTTGTCTGATACACATACATTTCAATCTTCATCAGCAATCATATACAGGGTAACCATATGTTAACCATATTCAGCCCAAAGTATAAGAATGCAAAAGCTATTTCAGGCGTAAACATCTAGAATTTACCATAAAGGACCACGTTCTATTTCTGGAGTCACATACAAACTCATTCAGAATGCTTCCAAAGGGCAGGCAATAGATCCTATCACTACAGGTAGAGGCCAATGAAGACATATCTCCAGCGAAACACATTTAAGCTGAATGATTTCTGCTAAGAGATCCCTCACTCTCTGCCATAGCGAGACCACAGGTTGGGAGTGAGTCAGAGAGAATTCTACCGTGATTAATAAATGTTACTGCTTGTTTGTTTTAAACTTTTATTTTAGGTTCAGGGTACACACGCAGGTTTGTTATACAGGTAAACAGGTAAACTCGTGTCACGGAGGTTTGTTGTACAGATTATTTTGTCACCAAGGTACTAAGCCCTAGTACACAACAGTTATTCTTTTGGATCCTCTCCCTCCTCCCACCTTTCACCTTCAAGGAGGCCCCAGCGTCTGTTGTTTCCCGCTTTGCATCCATGAGTTCTCATCATATAGCTCCCATTTGTAAGTGAGAATATGTGCTATTTGGTTTTCTATTCCTCTAATAGTTTGCTAAGGATAATGGCCTCCCGCTCCAACCATGTTCTTGCAAAGCCTCCATCCTCCTTCTTTTTATGGCTGCATAGTATTCCATGGTGTATATGTACCACATTTTCTTTATCCAATCTCCCATTGATGGGCATTTAGGTTGATCCCATGTCTTTGCTATCATGAATAGTGCTGCAATGAACATACACATGCATGTGTCTTTATGGCAGAACAATTTATATTCCTTTGAGTATACACCCAGTAATGGGATTGCTGGGTTGAACAGTAGTTCTGTTTTTAGCTCTGTGAAGAATCGCCACACTACTTTCCACAATGGGTGAACTCACTTATACTCCCATCAAGAATGTATAAGCATTCCCCTTTTCGTTTTGTTGTTAAGGCTCTTTATTTCATTGATGGAATGGGTATATAAGATCCTATTTCTGTGACAACTCCTAAGAAAATATATAGCATTAGTTTAGTGGGATTAACTTGTTTCAATCTTCAGTTTGGACATAATATTGAAGAACTGGCAGAGAATATAAGAAGAAGAAAGAAAAAAAAAAAGGTGCTGATGATGACTGAGCTAATAATACAAGGACTCTTGTGATATGGGCCATTTTCAAAACAGGCCAAACTGCCACCACAGAACAACATACAGGTGAGACATCCTTGTGACCACATGAGTGGCCCTTAAGCATAAGTCACGTGTATTAAGGAAAATGAACAAAAAATGTTAAGAAAGTCACCCAACCCCTTTCCTTTACTCTAACAACCTAGAGATAAAATAACTTCGGATATAAAATGCCCCAGGGATTTCACCATTCCTTCCCTCCAGTCCCTCCTCTCAGATTAGAGTTGCTGCTCCAAGCGGCAACTGAGTTCACCTGCAGTATCAGTGTCTATAAAGGCAGGCCCTGAGAGAGTTTAAGGAAACTAGACTATCTAGATACCCGGGTCAGGATGCTTCTAGCTTGGGATATTGACTGCCCTCATCTTGTACTCAGGACTTGGAAAATTTATTTAAGGCAGACTATGTACACGTGTCAGTATTCCGCCCACTTTACCAACAGGCTGAATGTTACAATATAAGGTTCTAATATCAATTAGAGGTTAGAAGGGTAACAAAGCTGCCCTGCTGCAGGAGAGGCCAAGTGCTCTGTGAAGACGACCACAGCTCCAGCTCCACAACTTCCTCTGGGGGTCCAGAGCGAGTTGTGCCTGTAACAGCTGGCTGAATACTACCACACATAGGGGTCAGAGGGCTTTGAGGACACACTGAATTGGCTTATTTCATGAGACATTCATTAATCTGAAAAGAATACTAAACTGTTGGGTCCTTTTATTTTGAAGAGTCCAGTGACAACTCTATTCCAAGATGAAGGACTGGAGGGAAGGGATGCTGAAATCCCCAGGGCATTTTACATCCGAAGTTGTTTTGTCTCTAGGTTGATGGCATAAAGGAAAGGGGTTGGGTGGTTTTCTCACCACTCGGACAACATTTTTCTCTTCTGTTCTCCAAATGCAGCACACTGAAGATCAGATGCCTCCTTCAGGACATCTTGCCCTATAACAGCAATCTACAGACACTAAGTGGTTTGTAGCTGTTCAGCTACACCTCCCAGCAACCCTGGCAGACAGTTTTACTTCCACTTAGAATCAAAGAATGTGAGAGTTTAAAGGGACCTTAGAAAACACTGATTTCAACTTCTGTACTGAGGATAAGAGATCATTCAAGGTCACAGTGTTAACTGGAACCCATGTCTCCTGACTGTGGCTCAGGACTCTTTTCTGCACTATGATGCCATCCCAGGATTGGAAAGTGGAAGGAGGGAGAGAGAGATCATAGGAGACGGAATACAAAGACTCAGATGTTTATCTTGCTGAAGATTAAAAAAAAATAAAATATGTAATTATGAAAGGAGTATAATCACATCAAGAAATGTAAGAATACAGAAAAGAGACTTCTATTCATCACTCTAATACAACTAGATACAATTCTTATCTTTTTGGTACATTATACTTTAAGTCTCTTTTCAAGTATATGGTTTTTCCATAATTTCACAATTCCTTTAACATTACCTCATGAGCATTTCTTTTCATACTGTTGTATAGACTTTATAACCATGCTTTTTAATGGCTGCACAGTTGGGTTCCTCAGCAATTTAGGCTGCTTCCATTCTTTGGGCTATTATTAAGAAGACTGCAGTAAACATCTGGGGCATATGGCCATTTTCCCTTTGCTACTTATTGCTTTAAAATGGCTACAGGGTACGCTTAACCTTCACTCACTTGCTTCTCTAGATGAGCCCTGCCAAGAGTCAGCGGAGACAGGGGTGGGTCAAAGCTGAGAAGCTCTACGGCTCCTGGCCAAAGCATGTTTCCTCTCTGTCCCTGAAACCAACTATCCCAGAGCAAAGTGTTCAAAGTATTTGTTCATCCAGAGAACATGGAGACGGTTCATAATTCGTTCCCAAGAAAGTGGACACTTCTGTCTAGGAAAAGCACAGGGGAACCTCATAAGAAGTGTAGTCAGTAGTAGTTGATCATTTTATCACCCTGGATGAGCATCTGTTATCATTAAACTTAAACACAGATCAGGATTCTTTGATTATTGCCCCAGCTCCACAATCATCAGTCTGTATGTCTTGGGCAATCACTTTCTAGTCTATGCCTCAGTTTCCAATTCCATAAAATGAGGAGACTGAACTGGATAATTAAGGTCCCTTCTAGCTACATCATGCACTAATTTTTTTAAAAACTCTGTTTCCATGAACAAGAGGAACTTTACCTCTTGTTAAAAATACAGAGACTCACTGTCTACTCCACGCCTGCAGGAAGTCTGAGTTTTTTTAGAAACGAAGGTGTAAAGACACTAAACACACACTTAGCTGAGACTTAAAGAAGACAATCTACGGCACTGCTTCCTTTCGAAGGGATGTAGGTTTTCTGGTTTAAGATGGGAGACAAAACTCTGTTACAAATCCATCCTCAGAAAGATGGTTTCTTACTTTTCCTTTGCTTGTCTAGTGGTTGGACTTCCCTGGGAGTAACAGGGTAGCTGTGACACTCTATCAGCTGGGTATGCAAAATGTCTTTTTCTAAAACCATGAATTTTTCTATCACTATCACTCAGAAAAATATGACTACAGAAAAAAAAATCCACTTATTAAAGGCCAAAGCATGATGTGCCTGTGTGTGTTGAAACTGTAGAGGACAATTAGACGAGGGGTTCTGATGCCATACTCAGCCAATATCTAAAAGTGGACATGCCCAATTTCTAAATTGACAGGACGGCTCAAATGACTGGATACTCAGATGTTCTGGTACCCAGGGTGATTACACCAGGGTGAACGGTCCCAGGTAAGCAGGCCCTTGACGGGAGCTGCAAGGTAAACTTAAATAATGTGATTAATAATGTCATCCAAGACAAAGAATAAACACAACATGGAGGACTCAGGGCCTGGAAAGGGCACAATGGATCAAACTGCCCCTTGAAGAAGAGAAAGGGATTAACTTTAATCCTGCCTAGGTCCTTGACTGTTCAAAGTGACAGTGAGAGAGATGACGAACAGATCTTCCTGCTAGCCTAGTTTCAGAGAGATAAAAATTACGAAGGTTCTTCATCAGCAGCCTAGAATGATTTTTTTAAAAACCTCTATCTTCTACAGAACATCTCATACTATCCTTGGATATATCAAGGACAGATCAAATATTTGAACCACCCAGGTGGGAAAGCATCCTGACCCGTCATCCGCTGCTGCCATCTTTCCCACCCTTTCCCTAACTCTCACTGCACACTCCTCCGCTGCTTTTGTGCTCTGAGCTCTGGTTGATTCTTACCGCTGGCTCCTGGGCAGGGGCTGGCTGTGGGGCTGCAGCTGGCGGTGGCTGGGGCTGCTGTCCTGCTGCCACAGTGGGCTTTTGCTGCAAGGCAGCCTGCTGAGTCATCAGCTGTTGTTGATGCAGGGCTGTGGCCAGCTGTTGCTGTTGCTGCTGTTGTTGCTGCTGCTGCTGCTGGTAGAAATTCTGCATTAGTTGCTGTTGAGAGCCTCCTTGGGACACCACAGGGAACTGAGCAATTGCTGGTTGCTGGGTTGCTGGATGTACTGCCTGAAACTGAGCAAGAAATGAGAAGATGAATAAGGGCTTGTCCCAGAAAAATGGTCACAAAAGACAAATGTCTCAATAACAATGAAGACCAGTGCTAAAGCCAAAGGCAAGGGCAAGTAGAAAAGTCTTGAGGCTAGGCCTAAAATCTCATGATGGAGACCTCAGGGCATTAAATACAACACAGCAGCAGTCCCTTACACTGCTAGGCTCCATCCATTGCACTAGGCTGCCTCCTGCACTACAGACTGGCCTTCCAAGTGGGTTTCTGGGCCTTGCCTAAGGGAAGCTATCTGACTAAACATCATGTGACTCCATAAGCTAGAGTACAGCAGGAGCTAATAAACGATCTCCTAATCATAGAGGTAATCCTTCTTATACAGGGATTTAAAGCAGCCAAGATTAAAATGCTTCCCTACCTGAATAGGTTGAAGCAAATGATGACACAGAAAAGAATAACCTAAATGCTAACTCAACTATTAAGATTCATCTCAAGTCTTACTAAAAATTATTTCCCAAGAGCTCTATTTTTATTAAACATCCTTAAACATTCAAAATAGCCAGTATACTCTATGATGCTTCTTTTTTTGTTGTTTGTTTGAGATAGTGTCTCGCTCTGTTGCCCAGGCTGGAATGTAGTGGTGCAAGCAATCTCGGCTCACTGCACCCTCGACCTCCTGGGCTCAAGTGATCATCCCACCTCAGCCTCCTAAGTAGCTGATATCACAGGTGCACACCACCATGCCTGGTTAATTTTTTTTCTTATTTTTCGTAGAGACACAGTCTCACAATGTTGCCGAGGCTGTCTTGACCTCCTGCGCTCAAGCAATCCTCCCGCTTCGGCCTCCCAAAGTGCTGAGATTACAAGCATGAGCCGCTGTGCCTGGCCCACACTTCTTATATGTCTCTCTAATCCCCACTGTTAGGGGCTATGTGCTACATACACAAACAGAGCTCAAAATAAGGGCCTGCCAATGAACTAAGGTCAAGACTGTATCTGTGAACATCCTGTATACTTTATGTAGTTAACTAGAGTCAATTGGGAGGATACTGTTTGTCTACTGGGGCAAGGTTAAAAGGTTAATAAATTAGAAGAGGTCAAAAAAAAAAATAGCTGCCTACTTATAACAGCAAAATACTGGAAACAACCCAAATGTCTATCAACAGGAGACTGGCTGATTAAATAAACTATGACAGATATATCCTGAAGGAAATATCTAACAGAATACTCTCAAGTTGTAAATAAGAATGAGCAATACCACTATACATGAGTTGGCGGGGATGAACTTTTGCAGATTTAACTTTGAAACTATGTAAATGCTTTACACATCCACAAAACAGAATTAAACTAAAATTTAAAAAGCAATAACTAAAAATCAAAAGCAAAACAATGCAAATAAGCCGGTGTATCAAACTGGTAGCTGAACGCTCCAGAAAATAATGTGCTAAACATTCTAAGGGTAAAATGGGCAAGGAAATCTTAAACTGTTTTCAGTAATCATATGGTTATTGCTATCTTAAAATGATAGAACAATTAATTAACTATGTTAATGCTGTTAAGAATTAAGATTTCCAGATGAAAACACAACAAAATCCAAGAAGTTAAAGAGAAATCCAGTAATTCAATATCCAAATTAGGAATATAAATCTCAATTCATAATGCCTATTCTCTAACAAAACAAAACAAAACGTATTTTCTAATTGTCCACTGAGAAGGCCTAGAAACAACAACCAATCCATTAGGCAAATGGTATCTCTAGCATCAAAACTGTGGTTTCTAAACATTATTTCCACTAAAAAGAAACAGAGCTCCTAAAAAAAAATGGATGATTTCAAGTCAAGGGCAGCATGATCCTAGATAGCAAGGAAATCATTAAAGACCACTGGAGTTACCAGACTTCCACTGGCCAAAGTTGGGGCAATCTGAGCTTTAAAAGAAATAAATTTTTTAAAACCTTAATATGCCAGGCACGGTGGTATGCACCTGTAGTCCCAGCTACTCGGAAGGCTGAGGCGGGAGGATCGCTTGAGCCCAGGAGTTCTGGGTTGTAGTGTGCTATGCTGGTTGGGTGTCTGCACTAAGGTCAGAATCAGTATGGGGACCTCCTGGGAGTAGGGGACCACCGGGTTGTCTAAGGAGGGTTGAACCAGCCCAGATTGGAAATGGAGCAGGTCAAAACTCCAGGGCTGATTAATAGGGGGATCTTGCCCGTGAATAGTCACTGCACTCCAGCCTGGGCAACAGAGCAAGGCCCCATCTCTAGTAAAAACAACAAAAAAAGCAATGTATTCAAAGATATCAAATAAGGGGCCGGGCGTGGTGGCTCAAGCCTATAATCCTAGCACTTTGGGAGGCCGAAACGGGTGGATCACGAGGTCAGGAGATCGAGACCATCGTGGGTAACACGGTGAAACTCTGTCTCTACTAAAAAATACAAAAAACTAGCTGGGCGAGGTGGTGGGCGCCTGTAGTCCCAGCTACTCAGGAGGCTAAGGCAGGAGAATGGCGTGAACCTGGGAGGTGGAGCTTGCAGTGAGCTGAGATCCGGCCACTGCACTCCAGCCTGGGCCACAGAGCGAGACTCCGTCTCAAAAAAAAAAAAAAAAAAAAAAAGATATCAAATAAGTTAAAATCTAAGAATTCCTAATGATACTAAACTAAACAAAACAAAAACCTCACTGTTCACCTTTGGATGATAAGAGAGAACAAATTTATTACTCTGAAAACTAGTAAACAAAGGAAAGAATCAAGTGTTTTTCCTGCCTTTTCTGTACAAACAGTACCTCAGGGTAACTAAAGAGTTGATGAAAAAATTTCTTCACGGAAAACATCCAGCCCTCAAATGAAGAGGGAATGTTAGACTATCATTGTGCCATCCCTGATGAATTAAGGAACTTGGCAAATGATCAGTGATGGCTGCTAAGCTAATGGGGAGCATTAAACAAATGGATCAGACAGACAACACCTCAATACACTGACTGATCTTTTTTTTCTTTTTCCTTTTTTTTGGGAAACACAGTCTTCAGGGAAATCTGAAAGTAAACGCTCCCTGAACTTAGTATCAGTGAAACAGAGGCCAGTGACACATTACAGACCTCCTGACATGACACAACAGGAAGAACAAAGAACTGTCAAACTCACTCAAATACTGAGTAAGCCTTGAGAAATTACCAGTGTACATGGAAGATGATCAAACATATCAAATGACACCACAGCATGCAATCAGCTAAACCCAGAATGCCAAACGGGACAAATAATCCAGTTTCTCTGAAAAATTAAATGACAAAAAGCAAAAAAAAAAAAAAAAAAAAAAAAAAGAGAGGAACCTATGGATAAAAGGGGACTTAAAAGATATATCAGCCAGCCATATAGGCTAACGCATGTAATTCCAATGCTTTGGGAGGCTGAGGTGGGAGGATGTCTTGAGGCCAAGAGTTTGAGACCAGCCTGGGCAAAATAATGAGGCCCCCATCTCTATCAATAAAAATTAGCCAGGCATGGTGGCACACGCTTATAGTCCTAGCTACTTGAGAGACTCAGCTGGGATGATCACTTGAGCCCAGGAACTGGAGGTTGCAGGGAGCTATAACTGCACCATTTCCCTCCAGTCTGGGAAACAGAGCAGACCCCTATCTCCAAAAAAAAAATAGATATACTCATCATTATAAAATGAATACATTCATAGTAAAAAATGTGAAAAAAATACATGAAAAGATAATGGAAAACAATATAGACCAATTAAATACATTCTGTTAGTATTGGATACTGATTCAAACAAGCCAACTTAATTATGAGACATTAGAAACAGTTAAACACTAATGGATATTTGATAATAAGAAACTATTGTTATTTTTTCCTCTCTTATGATAACAGTATTACAGTTATATTAGAAAAAAGAAGAAAAAAAAGCAGTCCTTAAAAAAATAGCTTTTTTTTTTTTTTTTTGAGATAGAGTCTCGCTCTTGTTGCCCAGGCTGGAGTGCAATGTCGCGATCTCAGCTCACCACAACCTCCACCTCCTGGGTTCAAGCGATTCTTCTGCCTCAGCCTCCCAAATAGCTGGGACTACATGCTTGCGCCACCACTCTCAGCTAATTTTTGTATTTTTAGTAGAGACGGGGTTTCACCATGTTGGCCAGGATGGTCTCGATCTCTTAACCTTGTGATCCGCCCACCTCGGCCTCCCAAAGTGCTGGGATTACAGGCGTGAGCCACCGCGCCCGGCCAAAAAATAGCTCTTGTACTGATGTCCCTCAATCAGGTGACGGATTCCTCATGGCCTGAGAAACAGGGTGAAAGGGGTGTGAGTGACAGATCCGCTTCTCAATGCTTTAGTATCTACATCGATGAGAAACGGTGATGTAATGGCTCTCTGGGAAGATACCTTTACCTAGTAGGCTTTTTCAGTCATGACTCAGATATGCAAGCAAGGGCCACACTCTGACCACCTTACCTGCTGAGTCTGGGCCTGCTGCTGCTGCTGGTAAAACGTGCCTGCCGGTTGCTGCTGTGGTGGTGGTGGCTGCTGTTGCTGCTGCTGTTGCTGCTTGAGGAAGAGTTGCTGCTGGTGCTGGGGTGTGGCCTGGGCCTGAGTGGGCAGACCCTGGGCCTGAGTGGAAGGCGTCTGCTGTGGAACGGGAGGAGCCTGTGGCTGCTTGGCCTGAGTTTGTGGCAGAGGCTGGCTGGGTGGTGCTTGGGGTTTTGGTTGGGGAACACTGGCTAAAAGGCCAGGCTGATTGCTGGATCCTGCAATGAGAAAATAAAGTCCATGTAAGGGTTCCAAACTCTTCCACACAAAAATGACTTTTTGTCTTGCCAAAACAATTAGTAGGGGGTGACAAGTGGGCAGAGTATCCCCAGATTCATGTGCTCCTCACTGTCTTTCCACATGCTCTGTCCTACCTGGAATGCCTTTCTATCTTCTTGCTACATTATGTGTTACAAATTTTTCAAAACAAGGTTCAATATTGCCTCCTTAAGAAAGTCTTCCGTTATTAATCATCTCATTTAGTCAATTACAAATTTAGTTGGCACCCCAAATGTCTACATATTCAGCTGGCCTTTGGTACGTATGCACAAGCTTTGCCCCTCTTGGCATGCAGCATGACAACATCATTCCCTGGTGTTTTATATGTAGCTTATCCCAGTCTGGAGGCCTGGCTATAAGTAGATGGCCACCAAATTCCCCAAAAGCAGCTTCCTGGTAGGGTTCAGTTATTTGATATTTTGGATCCATCCTTTTTATGAAACAAAGCTCCCTCATCTCATTAGAAACAGCATGCCAAAACATGAAGGGTGGTAGATACTTCAAGAGACAAAGCATTAAGAGAGGAGTCTTGTTTCTATTTTTTTTTTCAGGCATGTATGAAAATAATTGAGTTTCTTTTTATCTCAGCCCATCAGACCCCAAACTTCCTAAAATTGAAAGTAACTTGTCTGCTAGTCCAAGCTCTTCAGCCTCTTCGGTCCTGTCTCTTCCAGACATCTTTAACTGTTGATGTATTAGACCCAACCAGGCATTTCTGTAGGCTGGGAGGCAAATGAATAAAATAATGCTTTCTACCCAATCATCTCCCCTAGCCCATTTCAATGTCCCAAAGTTTAATTAACAGAACAGGGAAGCTGCCCTGGACTGAACTCAACACTTTGGAAGAGTTTTATTTCTTTAAAAGCAAAGGGAAATATATGAAATAAAGAGGGAGGATAAGGTTCCAAACTGCAAAAATCAGGGCCAAGTCTAGAAAAAGAGACAACGGGCTTTAGTGGTCCTGGAGATGTATCTCAGAATTCAAGGAGGCCTCCCCTTTTGCCAGCCATTTGCCATACAATTTCTTTTTTTTGGAAATGGAGTTTCACTCTTGTCACCCAGGCTGGGGTGCAACGGTGTGGTCTCGGCTCACTGCAACCTCTGCCTCCCAGGTTCAAGCGATTCTCCTGCCTCAGTCTCCCCAGCAGCTGGGATTACAGGCACATACCACAATGCCTGGCTTTTTTTTTTTTTTTTGGCAAAACGGGGTTTCATCATGTTGGCCAGGCTGGTCTGGAAATTTAACTCCTGACCTCAGATGATTCACCTGCCTTGGCCTCCCAAAGAGTTGGGATTACAGGCGTGAGCCACCACGCCTGGCCACTGCCATATAATTTCAACGGCAGCTGCCACCTGTTCCTCAAGGAACACTGTTATCTCTATGTGCCTCTGGATTCCAATCCTAAAGCAAACCAGGCTTTCCAAGACTTTCCTGTTGTCCAGAATAACAAAGAGGTGTACTGAGTTTCAAACCAATCTAGATACAAACCTGCAGCCTGAGGTGGGGGCTGAACAGTGGCCCTCTTCCGGGGTGTCAGGGCTGGCTGGATGGGAAGGATTCCTGGGTTCGGCTGAGTCTGCCCAGCTTTAGGCCTCTGGCGGGGTGCAATTGAAGTCTCTGTGGTGGGAATGGGATCTGTCAGTCTAGAAGGGGAAAAGAGAAAGGTTCATATTAAAGTATGCAAAAAATGGAAGCGGGTGGGCAGAGGACACAATGCTTCCACTTCCACATCCACCTGAACCTTCCAGGTCTGCTTAATCGATGCTTCCCAAAGGATCTCCCACAGGATGCCACTGTTACTAGACCTTCTGAAAACAGGCTTGGTGGGCAAATAAATTTTTAACACACTGATCAAAATATATTGTGTGGCTCTCCTCTAGCAGAACTTTTCATGTGTGAATATGCAAGAAGAATCTCAAAAAGAATGCTATGTAGAATGCATTCTCTTTGCATTCTCTAAGCATTCTCAAGTTTATTTCATCTTGTGGCCCTTTTACCTAGTACCTCCTGGGATTTCCCAAAATACCCTTTGGGTGATCATGTAAAGAGGGGTTCGAGGCACGTGGTTTTCAGATGCAAAGAGAATTCAAACTTGGCTGCAACTAGCTGTGAAAGTGGTCTTTCTACAATGAAAAGCATGCAGATGAGTGAATCCAACATGGCAACTGGAAGGAAAAAGTAAATAATTCAAGTCAAAGGATTTAAAATTGGGAAGTGTGACAGAAACTCCATTTCTTCCAATATACATACTATCTTTTTTCCACAGTAACAAAAGTTTTAACTGGGCACAGGGTCACCCAGAGTAAAAATCACATTGCCCAGTCTCTTTTGCAAATAGGTGTGAACTCGTTTCTAAGTCCTGGCATTACATGAGATGTAAGAAGATTATCATGCAGCAGTTTTCATAAACCATAAGAAATAACTGGTTCAAGCCTTCTGTCTTCTTCTTTGACTATTCCTTGATCCTGCTGCTAAGAGCAGGGATGTTGCCATATTGATCCATGCAGTCAGGGCTACACTGCATGGTGACGTGGTTAGCTTGAAGAAGTCTAGATCCCTGAGGGCTTCATGGAGCAGAACTGCCATGCTGGCCTTGGAGTACTTACCTCCAGATTTTGTTTACTTGAGAGAAAAAAATAAACATCTATCTTTTATACACAACTGTCATTTTGGACCTTCTGTAACTCACAGCCAGACTGACACTTTCAAACTAATATAGGGAAGACTGCTTGCTCCTTGTGAGGGTGCAGAAGCCCAGGTGCTAACTTTCACGAATTTACAGTAGCCCAGGCAGCTAGCTACTACCTAACTGAGATCAGAGTTGGCCATCCTTTGAAACTCCACTTTAGAGAGTATAACTGGGCTTAGGCCAAAATTAACAAGTTTCAAGAATATTTCCAAAGCATGTTTTGTCAAAATATTTCCAAAACAGCCTCCATGAATGTAAAACAGGAAGGAAAACAGGCGGCCTCATGTCCTTCCCATGACGTACCTCCAAGCTCCATCGTAGGCCCAGAAACTTTGCACTGGCAACCTGTTAGAGGGATGCTCTTGTGCTGGCTGGGGAAGTGGTGACATAAAGGCTATCACATCTGGGGGGCTATAACTTGGGCAAGGGAGGTGGGAAGAAAAATGGGACATGTGCTGGAGAAAAGAAGAAAGGTGTAAGAGAGAAAAAGCCGGCCGGGCATGGTGGCTCACGCCTGTAATCCCAGAACTCTGGGAGGCCGAGGTGGGTGGATCACTTGAGGTCAGGAGTTTGAGACCAGACTGGCCAACATGGCGAAACGCCATCTCTACTAAAAATACAAAAATTAGCCAGGTGTGGTGGCACATGCCTGTAGTCCCAGCTACTCCGGAGGCTGAGGCTGAAGAATTGCTTGAACCTGGGAAGCGGAGGTTGTAATGAGCCAAGATCATGCTACTGCACTCCAGTCTGGGTGACAGAGTGAGACTCCATCTCAAAAAGAAAAAGGGGAAAAAAGAAAAAGCCAAGGGTGAGGGAGGTGAACAGGCTTCTGTAGAAACCCAAACAGCAGAACCTCCATGTTGATCATCTCTTGAGGGGAACATCTTAGAGCAATGGGATCTGGAGCCGAAGAAAACTATATTTGAGTTCTAGTTCCTCACTAAGTAACTGTGTGATAATGGGCATGTCACTTGCCCTCTTTCAGCTTTGGGTCCTTTATAGGTAAAAGGGAAAAACACATATGCCTACATCATAAGGCAGATGTGAACATCAAATGTATCAGTAACTATGAATCTGTTTTATTAATTGTAGAATGTCCAAAATATTAGTTTGTATGGACTTCAATGTGTCTGTTTTGTGGAGTGGAGTGGGCAAAGGGATCATTGCTTAGCCTCTGCACATATCATGTTTGAGCCTACTACGAGACAGCCATGAGCACAAAAGACTAAGCTACTTAAATCAGCCCAAAAACAACTCCCAAAGGGGTGAGCATGGCCGAATTAGTGAAAGAAATGGACAAACTACAAAGTAACAAGTTTTGTTTGTTAAGCAAGTTTGCTACGTTCATTAAAAATCAAAGTCTCACTATTTTAGAGGCACATCTAAAATAACTTCATGTACACAGCAGGCATTCAATAAATATTAAAGAACTTTTTAAGATACAGATGTTATTTTACTGTTCTATTAAAATTCACATATTCCCATCCAGGATACTTTGTTGGTGCAGTTTGCTGTTAGCACTTCCTCGCCATGGTGGTATAAAAAAGAGGAGTATAAATAACTCCTGTGCTACCTCTAGAATCTGCCATTTGGAAGGTGTGGCAGCCATGCGAATGTGCCTTGTAGACCTTCATCTACAGGGAGCATACAACCCCGATGCTCAGATGCTGCATTCCTAAAATGCAGCACTAAGTCCACCACTGCTGTGGTGTTTGCCCTGGCGCCATGCTTCCCATAGGTTGCTGCCAGCCCTAACCTCCAACCCACAGGAATTCCTAGGAGATGAGGGACTATCTGTTGGCTGACGGGCACAAGGACCCCAACACCTTTGGTGAATCTTACGTAAGTTGTGTGACAGTCTAGGTCACTTCACCCATGCTTCTCCTCCCTCTCTCTGGGTCAGACTTGCACTGCCTTCTGATGGCACTCCCAGGCTTTCCTGACTCCCTCCCTGTTTTCTCTCACGTGGGCATTTCCCCAAATAACATCTTTGTTTAATCCTCTTTTGGCATCTGCTTTTTGGAAGAACCTAGGTTCAATAGACTGATTAGCTAAGACCCGGAGAGTCTTCTGCTGTTCATGGACCTGGTGCTTTGACCTGCACTTTCCTAATGTGGTTGCAGCCATAGAAAGTAAGAAGGAAAGGGAGGCTGAGTATTACAGTGGTGAATGTGGCTAACCAAAAGTCAGGACACATGTTTAGTATACTTTTTAAAAATTTTAAAAAGAGATGGGGTCTCGCTGTATTGCCCAGGCTGATCCCAAACTCCTGACCTCAAGTAATTCTCCTGGCTCAGCCTCCAGGGCAGTTGGGACCATAGGCACGTGCTACCACGCCTGGCTAATGTTTAGGATACTCTTGTACTACCAACAATTTTTTTTTTTTTTTTTTTTTTTTGAGATGGAGTCTTGCTCTGTCACCCAGGCTAGAGTGCAGTGGCGTGATCTCAGCTCACCACAATCTCCACCTCCTGGGTTCAAATGATTCTCCTGCCTCAGCCTCCCAAGTAGCTGGGACTACAGGTGTGTGCCACCATACCCGGCTAATTTTTGTATTTTCAGTAGAGACGGGGTTTTGTCATGTTGGCCAGGCTGGTCTTGAACTCCTGACCTCAGGTGATTCACCCTCCTTGGCCTCCCAAAGTGCTGGGATTACAGATGTGAGACACCACGCCTGGCCATACTAGCAACATTTAAAGTCTGCTGTTGCCTCATCTCTGAATGCCCCTGAGCCTATTCTCATGCAAAGAAAATAGCTTTAGAGTTCTTGATTCTCTTTCAAATGTAGATCACAATATTTTATGATATTCCTTTTTGCATTCCCAAAGAACAGTTTCTGCCTAGGCAAGACAGAGCTTGCTTTCCTGATCTGTGCAGCCCCTGGTCACGGCAGCATACGTAAGAATCAAGAAACACAGGTATCCTTCTCTGCTGCTGTGGCAATCCAAGGAGGACATGTGCTCACGAAGGCATTTCTTACCTGGCCTTTGGCTGGGTCTTTTTTGCAGCTGCCTCACTGGCTTTCACTGGTTCAGGAAGCTTTGCAGGAATGGGAGAGTTCTACAGAATTGCAAACAAAACAAAACAAAACAAAACAAGGACATCGTAGATTTCTTTGTTAAAGAATAAGCAGCCTAATTGGGACTGAGAGCTGATGGAAACATATTTTGGGATCTTCTGGAGCAGCTTCCAGGCCCTGCGGTCTGTCTGGTAGAGGGAAGGAAAGTTAACCAAATGCATGTCAGACTCAGCCATAGTCAGGGAAGAAGAGGAGAGAGTAGCTTGTGTGCAGCACACATTCCCCGATTATTCTCTACCTTCTGTACCACGGTGAGTCACTGGGGCTTGATCTCAGTACACTTCTCCTATGCCACAGCTTAGAAGTGATGCTATGAAAGGAATGGGAAGGAAAAGTCTGCAGCTGGTATTATTCTGGATCCCAGACAGATCTTCGTTTGAGCTTATCAATGTGTCAAACCAGGGTGCACTGAGTCTGCTAGTCAGAATGCTCAGAGAAAACCACAGCCACCCCTGTGTATGGCTGCTGAGCCAGTACCCTTTCCAACATGTGAGGCACTACTCAGTCTACAAGCCAAGGAGAGTTCCTCTGGCTTGAAATCTGCACTATCCATCTAATAATGCCTCATGAGGGAGCACCAGCTAGCTGTCCCTAACCCTAAAACAGGTGCTTACCACTACTGAGTACCAAACGACATGAGACTTGTGAGGTGTACTTTTGAAAAACTAGCTACCAATTTGAATGCTTCCACTTAGATCTCACATTATTTAACTTTACGAATGGGAAAGTGGGACTACAAAAGAAGACAGTCATGTTTGGTTACTGCACAGTATCCCTCGTTTTAATCTGGGAAACCCAACACACAATACTAGTTATAAAACTGGCCTTTTAGGAGGGTCCTCTCGCTTCCTTCACGTTTCCAGGTGGGGGGAGATTTTTCTGCTGGAAAACTTCTAGCACTTCCTCTTCTTCAAGCATTCCTCTCCCAAAGGAGAAGAGTTGACTTCTGTGACTGATAAGACTGTGGAAAAACTGAGCTGGTCCAGTTTGCTGTTGCCCTCCTTCCTTTAGAGAAGAGCCGGTCCCCCAGGAATCAGGTGTTTACATCTCAGTCATGTGGGTCTAATGCTAGGGAGCCTGACTAGTTAAGCTGCATCTTCTGACTCAAGCTTATTAGTAATAAAGTCAATATTCTGAGCTCCACCTGGATGACCCCACATCTGATTTCAAATGTGAGAGTGAAAGAGGAGTAGCACCCTTAAGCCCCAGCAGTGAAATCAAAAGCTCATTATTCGAGGAACTAGCAAGAAAATTTCAGGTTAGAATCTATTTATTATAGCATCCATTCACAAAATATTTAAGAAAAATAGATCACAATATGACATGAAAAATATGCAAGGATTTTTAGTAGAGATGGGGTTTTGCCATGTTGGTCAGGCTGGTCTTGAACTCCTGACCTCAGGTGATCCACCCTCCTCAGCCTCCCAAAGTGTTGGGATTACAGACATGAGCCACCACGCTCAGCTGTATTATCAACATTTAAAGTCTGTAAAAAAGACATATGCAAGCATTTTACTCTGAAAACTGTGAGTGCAGAGTTTAGGATTACTAAATGTAGAAAACATTCTTATGGCTTGATGTGCTGGAAGGACAGAGAAAGAGGAGTGTGAGTTATAAATGGCCAACAGCAGAAGCAAAATCAAGAAAGCTCTACTGCAAGGAAGGAGAACAGGGACAGGGGGCGTAGGTTCTAACAGGCATGGGGGCATGTCCAAGGCCTTGCCTCAGGAAAGCAGCCCGCTTAATCACCTCCAGGTGACTACAACAGGCATGTGGCTCTTAGAGAACTAGAAGAGTTGACAGAAATGAAGTTGGTCAATCTTCATTCAAAGTGTCCAACTCAATCCCTAGGGCATTTTTTTTTGTTCAGTACAATTGCTTCAGTTTTATAATTAAATTCCATGGGAAAATTGGATTCCCTTTATGGCAATTGCTTCACAATTAGCTTTGCTTGAACGCCCCCTAGTAGATAAAGCAAGGGACATCTATATTCATTTAAACAGCTGATTAACACCCCAGGAACTCAAAATGGCAATCTGATCATGTTTACTCCCTTTAAGTAGCACCATTCACGTACCTGTACATTTGGAATTGGGCACTCTTTCTTGAGTAGCTTAAATGAGAAGTAGGACACCTGGTAAATATCCGGCCTTTTGTCAGGGTCTGGTTCCAACATATACCCTAAGGCAAACACACGTGAATTTATCTAATAATATTCCAACAGTTATTACACTAGTTAGGAAGCATCATTCCTCTCTCTATTCCCAATGTTTTGTTTTTAAACTTTTATTTTTCATAGAACTCAGACAGTATAATTAGCCCCTTTCTCCCCCTTAGAAAGAGAAGCTCTAATGTTCCTGAAATGTTTAATATCTATAAGAAAATAAAAATAAAATATGTGGATTGTAGCAAAGATACTTAAAGTTCATATTCTATGCTTTGCACCAGAGGGACTCAGGCTCTCAATATGAAAGTTACTACCTTCATACTTTGATACCTAGGAGGTTACACGGCCTTACCACTCAAGCTCTCAATATGAAAGTTACCACCTGCATACTCCAATACCTAGGAGGTTACATGGTCTTACCACGGGCTTCCTTGGTTCATCTTATCTTACTAAATGAATGGTAATGATTATTCTTAATAATTATAGCAAAACCCAAATTTCTTGAATTTACTTATTCTTTTGTTGGAAATATTAGCTGGTTTCCAGATTTAAAAAAATTACAAAGTAACATATGCATATTTACTTTTCCTGTGACCTATAGATCAATTGTCTGTTTCCAGGTCATAATACCTGGGAGGTTACGGTCTTACCCACGGGCTTCCTTGGTTCATCTTATCTTACTAAATGAATGATTATTGTATCAAGGTATAACCCAAAACCCAAATTTCATGAATTTACTTATTCTTTTGTTGGAAATATTAGCTGGTTTCCAGATTTAAAAAAATTACAAAGTAACATATGCATATTTACTTTTCCCACTGTAGCCTATAGATCAATTGTATGCATATTTACTTTTCCTGTGACCTATAGATCAATTGTCTATTTCCTGGTCCTTTAAGCTTCTGCCTCCCTGAGGCTGGAAAAATCCTTAGGAGGAAAAAAAATCTTTAAGAAGACCACAAACATACACATATATATGCAAACAACAACACAAGGCAGCTGACTGCTTAAATAATAAAGTGAATGCTCTGGACACTAAGTTCCAAAAAGATCAGGGAGGCTGCAGCCTTGTGACCGCCTTGCAGAAGAGGCAGAGCTTGACTGGCCCTTGAAGGCAGGACAGAAGTCAGTCAGGGGGAAGCAGTGAAAAAGACATTCCAGTTGAGAGAACAGTCTGAGCAAAGAAGGACGTGGAGAAAGACAAGAGAGTGTCTTGCTGCAAGTAAACAGAGGAGCCAGAAGGACAGGCTAGAGAGAAGGCTGAGTGGGTGGCATGCAATCAGAATCAGAATCTTAAATGCCATGCTAAGAAGCTGAGCCCTACTGTGGGACCATTGGCAAGCCGCTAGTTTCCTAATCAGGGACATGAGAGGTGGTGTTTTATAAGAGGAAACTTTTGGTGAGGGTGTGCTGGATGGGTTGAAGAGAGAGGAGAAAAGCTGGTGACCAGTCCGACAGTAGAGGCATGAGCTGACAGAGTCTGTATATACTATGGTGACAGTGATGTACGTATAAAGAAAATAGTAGAAACTCCAAAAAAGGAATATGACTGAGAAAATGATTGAACCTTTCCTCTCTCTTGCTAGCTGGATCCAAAGAAATCTTAAATTTCACTTTTATAGGCTTCAATGGTGATACCACTGAGAGAAACTGAAAAGAGGGCAGGGGAACTAGGTATTGAGGGTAAAAAGAAGGAAGGAGGGCTAATGATGATAAACTTAATTTTAGATCTGTGCGTTTAGGGTGACAGTGGAGTTGCCAAATGTTCTGCAAGCAGTTTGGGAAAGATGTCCATGGTATAGATATTCATAAAGAGTTGTTTTTCCCAATATGAATTTACTGCATAAATGTTTTAAAAATTATCAAAAAATAATACTAGTCTAATATCAAAGTTGGCCATTTTCCCATATTTCCTACCAATCTCACTTACATACCTGGAATTCTAACATGAATATAATGCTTTATCTCTTAAAACAATTCAACAATTATTAAACATCATAATCTAGTCCTTTAAATATTCCTCCTTTTTTTGTTAATAAATGGAAGAGGCTGATTGACAAAACTGGCACAATGGAATGGGCAGCACCTTAAAAGCTGTATCTATGTTAAGTGGATAAGTTATCTACATTTTCTCAGTTTCAGTTTTCTCATTTGCATAATGGGAATAATTATACTTAATATATAAAGGATTTTAAGAATTAAATGAGGCATAAGTAGGCCCTCAACAAATGTCAGATGCTCCACTCACATTTGCTGCTTCTATTTTTTCCAGTATATCCCCATGCAGGACCCAAACTGGGTTACTCAAGCTTATAATCAATCCATAACAGTTAAAACTTAGATGTTAAGAGTCTTGACCAATGTGGAAAGATGATAAAAATCTCTGCTTCTTTAGCATTTTAGTATAGGGGCTTTGTGCAAAGATTATTCTTTGTTTTTTTTTTTTTTTAAAGATTACTTATTCTACCATCTGGTTAATGAATGTTAGTACATATGCTTGCTATGATGATACCAAATAGTGGGGAATCTTAAGACTATTTTTAAGAAAGCATTCAGTTTAGATGCATGTTATCAAAATCCCGTGATTAACCTAAACGAGAGGAAAAACCTGGTTCCATGGAGTTATATAGTCTTAATTATGTATTCACCCCAGTGAATGCACTGCAATCATTTTCATTTGAGTTGCTTCCAGTTTTGCAAAGATGAATTTCTTATCACTTGATATGAGTCAGCTGGACTCCTTTGGTATCGGAGCTTTCATAGAGACTGCAACAGAATATAGAAGCACTATTCTGCTCCAGGCAGTTAGGATTTCTGCTTGGGTGGCTGGGCTCAGGTGTGAAACAGAACTTCAGATTTCTAGCAAAAAGACCCACCACTCTAACTAGACACTGTTACATTGTCTTTGAGTTCCCAATCATTATCAACTAATTTCTTTACCTTTGCATCTAACTCATTACTCCTGGAACCTAATCCCTTTATCCCCCAATTCATTCTTTGTGATCAGAAATAAAAATATGAAACTAGAAGCTTAAAATACTTACTAATTAGGCAGTGCATGTCTTGAGAATATCGAGAATTATCAGGAATTGTGAAGTTTCCATCACAAATTGCCACCTGACTCTCCCCAAATGGCAAAGTGAAGTAGCATAATTTATACAACAAACATCCAAGAGCCTAAAAAAATAAAGATAGCAGATTGCTACTAGTGGTTTATTTATCATGACTCTAAATGGATCTAATGAGAAACTGGCACCATTCACATTTACTAGCAGATATAAAAACTACAGACTATTAATATATTAGAAACGTGAGTTTTAGAACCCAACACCACTGTTAGCAGCTGAGTTACAATATTTCTACCATTATTACCAAATTGTGCTCCAGTAAAGAATAAGTATTGACCTGTTTTGCTCTTAAGAACCAGTAACATATGCATGAAAAAAAAATCTAAATAATTTCCACAGAGCTTGGAAGTAATTTTCTTTATCATGCTTCAAGAAGCAGTGGCTGGTATTCTCACATCAAGAACCTTGAGGGGCAAGTAGACAATGATATGGTATGGTAGCCACCATGCTATAGCGCTGTGTGCATTAACCTTGGGAATTTACAGTCAAGACTGCTGCTATCTGAGGTATGGATAGGTTACTTGACACCTACCCAAATGTCTGCCTTCGTAGTGATGATTTTGCCACTGTACAGGTTGACCATTTCTGGTGCTCGATAAGACAGCGTTGTATATCTACAATCAAGAGATTCATTTTTTGTTAAATATGTCAATACTATAATTAAAAACCAGGAGCAGCAGAAACACTTTTGTTTTTCTTTTTACATTAATAGAATCCCTGGGAGCAATCTGCAGAAGAGAGTATGAAATATTAGTACAGATAAAATGAAAGGCTGTCCTTGGTACAATCATATCATCGCACCATGGCCCTCTGGCAGCAGTCCTCCTAGTCTACGAACATGTGGGGACTCAGACACTAATGTATTAAATAATTTCTTTTTTTTTTTTTTTTTTGAGACGGAGTCTTGCTCTGTTGCCCAGGCTGGAGTGCAGTGGCCGGATCTCAGCTCACTGCAAGCTCCGCCTCCCGGGTTCACGCCATTCTCCTGCCTCAGCCTCCCAAGCAGCTGGGACTACAGGCGCCCGCCACCTCGCCCGGCTAGTTTTTTGTATTTTTTAGTAGAGACGGGGTTTCACCATGTTAGCCAGGATGGTCTCAATCTCCTGACCTCGTGATCTGCCCGTCTCGGCCTCCCAAAGTGCTGGGATTACAGGCTTGAGCTACCGCGCCCGGCTGCATTAAATAATTTCTAAAAGCAACTTTTCTTGGGTCCTCAAATGACAAAATCTTCTCTTACCAATTCTTATTCTGATACTATATTTTGCCAATTTGTTGTTTTAAAAATGGCCTTTACATGTGGCTCAACACAGAGATGTAATACTGACTGTGGTACTCTGGAGAAGAGCAGAAAGTGGACCCTGGCTGGGGTGAGGAGTGGATGGAATCAAGAGCCCTTCATCTTTGCTCCTGGAATCAGGTTGAAATAACAGTTTTATCTTTCGCTCCAGAAAAAAAGTAGTATAAGCACATCCTCAAAGTGAGTGTCTTGGTGTTACCAAGCATGTGATTTATGCTGCTTTAGTCTCTAGATCCCAGATGGGACAGGTCTAGGCATCCCTCAGGGCCTTGGGTCAATCAGGGTCTTCTTGCCCCAGGCATGGTTGTCTGGGGTGATGCATGAAAAGGACAGAGAAGATCAGGATGTAGGTGTGCAGGCTAGACTGTTGACTTATTAGTAGTAATAGTGAGTGCTGTTACCTGTAAAAAATCCAACAATGTGGACATGAGGAGAAAATGGGTCAGGCTCTTATTGGAGTCACAAATCTAAATAAGCTTTTTCTCGTGAAAGTCTGTGATTCAGTATCTGCAGAGACTTTAATAACCTACTCACCATTATTTCCACTTAGATTGCCTTATGAGCAGGAAGGAAGGAGCAATTTAGAGTTCAGTAAAAAGCACATCTGTTTGACTGATAATGTCATGGCTGCTGTGATCATACTTAAAAACATCCTAGTACTTTATATTATAGTGTGTGCACCTCTCAGCTTTTTATAGGCTCTGTGACATCATAAATCAAAACATCTATGTGCAATGACCACAGGACCATTGATAAAGAGCTCTAAGAGTCCTTCCTTTTACTCTGATGTATGCTTATAAACCCCTCCTCATTCTTCACTTAAAGTCAAACAACCCAACTGTGACCATGATGCTCTGAGACGAAGGACAACTATCACCATTCTCTCCCCACCCTGATCTTCTCACCCATAAGCTGAAAGTAAAGTTGCTCATCTGATTGTGGACAAAACTCCATGAAAGGAGAAAAAGCTTACTTCTTAATCTCATCTTCTACTGCATTGACTCCCTCAGTTTGTGGATTCTGGAATTTGTTGGTGGCACTTCCAAAGTCACACAGGACATAGTGGCCTCGGTCATGCAAGAGGATATTTTCAACCTGAAAAACATTCCCCAACCACCCATTCCAAGATATCATTTAGTAATGCACGTGAAAATTTGGTTTCACAGTCACATAAATAAAACGTTTTATTTCTGGCAGTCTCATTAATGTGCACAGGAAAGTTATTCCTCTCCAAGTATCTCAACAGGGGTCATCCCAAGTGGAACACAGGAGATGCAGAGTAACAGGGAAAAGTGGGTGGAGAGGGCAAAAAGAGGAAACTCCACAGTGTGAGATGCAAGAGTGCCATTTTTGTAAATTTCAGCCACATTTCTCACCTCTGCAGAAACTGTCTTCATACTTTCAAGCCTCTGACCTGTGCCTTTGCTCTTGCTCTTCTTTTAGGCCAGGATGCCCTCCACAATCCCTACCTCCTTAGCCAACTATCAAAATCTCGTTTTAAACCCCAGTTCTAATGGCATGTCCTTTTTGAAACTTTCAGGCTCCCACTCAGATAACATGTCACTCTTTCCCTATTGTCCTTCAGTATTTCATTCTCTCATGATATGAATTACTTCACTTGGACCTTATAAGTACTTATATAAATGTCTTTACTACACTAGGTTAGGATATTCAGAATTAATACTGTTTATGTTTCAGTTACTTCTCAATGTGATAAAATATCTGGGGATAAATGGGCAGTTTTCCTGTTAATGTATTGCCCTAATTTTTTAAATAAATGAATTCTTTGGGCAGTGAGTTAGGAGTTCTAGGCAGCAGGGAGCTTATAATGCCCCAAATCTAGAGAAATCCCTGGTATCAAAGGATTCTACTAATGAAATGACAACTCCAAAACAGTGGACACTATGTACTCAGGGTGTACTGATTTTTGGTCTAGATGAACTGAGCTGACTAGTATGCTGGAGGACAGGCCTGGCTATGTGTGGGCAGTAAAATGGCAGCCAAAAAGTCTTGTTAGGCTGTTAAGACTGTAGTCTCCATTGTCTTTTGTCTTCAGCCTTCCAAAGACTGACTGCCTTTGGAAAACAAAGGCAAGAGTAGACTATAAGATAGTCTACTCTTAAAGATAAGCTCCTCAAAGATAAGCATCATCTTGTAATCATATTCTTGGTCTTCTCTACCTAATGCCTAACACAATGCTTGGTATAAAAAATGTATGTTGAATGGAATAAACCAAAAAACACTGTGTATGTGTGTGCATGTGTGAGCAAACCTGGTCTGTCAGGAGCAAGATATAAGCCACCAAATATCCAGGCCATACTACTGTACTACTACTGATTCTTTTAAAAACAACCAGTCAATTATAATAAGCTCTAATTTCTATACTTGTTTCTATACCTTCTTTTAATTCTTCTAAGAATTACATTAAGTATATTTTATAGTCTGTATCTGCCAATTCCAATATTCGAAGTGTCTGCTGCCAACTGATTTGCAGTTTATTGTTTCTTATTCCTACTAAACCTTGCTTATGGTGGTGTTGGGAGGAGTTTTGTTGTTTCGTTAACTTATGTTCCTTGGAACTTAATCTGTACAAAGCTTGTGAGATCTGGGTTTAAAGTCTATTGTTCTTCCAGAGAGGAAATACTGATGTAGTTGGGGGCAGTACTGCCCTGGAATTACTTTAATCTATAATTTTGACCTTGGAATTTCCAGCCACATAGGTAGTTTGAACTACGGCCATCAACCTTCACAGGTATGTTCCATGATTAACAATTCTTAAGCATAGGGTTATGAATTAAGAATGATTAGAAGAGATTCGTTCCTTTGAGATAAGGCTGAGGCAAGCAAGTATTTCCATCATCTATGTCTTTTTTATAAAGCTCAGCAGTTTAATCTACTTATACAAAGTGACACAGTCAAGCTTCCTGAGCATATACACACTTTAGGAATTCAAAATAATTCCAACAAAACAACACTAATGTTTTCAATCTAATTTAGAGGTTATAAAAATAACAGCCATCATTTTCTGAGCTTTATTACTGCCAGTACTACTGTACTCAGCATTTTACATAGATTATCCCACTACATCCTCATAATCCCAATATGATTATTATCCTTCTCTCACAGATGGAGAGAAAGAGGCTCAGAGTGATTAAGTCACTTGCTAAATGTCACACAGCTAATAGTTGGTACAGCTGGGAAGTGAACCTAAACAACCTCACTCTAGAAAGGACAGGCAATTATATTCCCGCTACAGGAAGCAGGTTAGAAGCAGAGCAATTAATAAAGGCCCCCATCCTTACTTCCAACTATAGTAGGGGTGATGATACTTGTTTAATGCATTGGGTGCAAGCTTAAGGACAGGACTTTCTTAGTGCTTTATGTTCAGAAATGCCCCTACAATAGAAATCTAGTTAATAAGGAACCACGTGTCTAAACACTAGCCAGGCTGATTTGTTCCATGTCTCCTAAGCATTCCATACATAACCTAATTTTTCCTTTTATTCAATTGCTCCTTTTATTCAACTGCTCACTCTCTACTCAAGTTGTAACTCCCGAGAAAAACCTTTCACGACCAGTCCACAAAATCTACAGAATTGAAGGCCTTCAGGCCAAATCAAAGCATGCCCACTTGTTACTTACCTAAAGTTTATGGCTGCTTTTAAACTCTGACAGCAGAGTTGAGCAGTTAGGACAGACGTAAAATATTTATTATCTGGCCCTTTGTAAATAAATTTTGTAAACCTTTGGTAGGTAATAATCACTGATAATCATTTACAATTCGGCAATGTTTCTTTCACTGTGGGTTGGTATTTAGCTTCTTATGTATTTACGCTTGCCTTCCCAAGTAAGACTACAAAGCTTTAGAAAAAAGGGCACCGTATTATGCCTGTGTATCTCCCATAATGCCTTGTCCAGTGCCGTACACATGCCAGGGACCCTTAAATGTTGGCAATGAAATCACTTATTCAGCATCATTCAGCAACAATCTTCCCCCTCGGCCTCATGCACCTGGCAGGGCTCATGTAAAATCATGCTTCTCCTATTGGATGTGTGCACTCCCTTTCTGAATCAGTTTCTACACTTCTAATGCTGGAATGTACATCTAGAAAAGCTCTTATTATCATACATTTATCAAAGAAACACGTTTCACACAAAGGATAAACATAAAGGATAAATGCTTGAGGTGGTGGATACCCTACTCACCCTGATGTGATTATTACACATTGCATGCCAGTATCAAAATGTCTCATGTAACTCCTATATACACCCATTATGTACCCACAAAAATTCAAAACTAAAAAAAAAAAGAAACACATTTCAACTCCTACTATATGCCAAGAACTTTTCTAGGCTCTGGGATAAGGCTGTGAACACAACAAAGTCTATCCTCTCACGGAGCTTACCGTTCAACTGGAGATAAGAAGAAAATCATTATACTTGCCTGGTAGTGATAAACATTATGACAAGAAAGCAGCAGGTGAATGTATGTACGGTGAAGGGGAATGCTATTTTAAATAGTATAGTCAGGGAAGGTCTCTCTGAGGGGAACAGAGACCTGGATGAAGAAGGGGCAGCCATGGGCCATCTCGGGGAAGAGCACTCCAACAACAGAAAACAGCAGCACAAAGGCCCTGAGATGGGAGAGTGCCTGAAGGGTCTGAGGCACACAGGCAGGTCACTGTGGCCGGAACAGTGCTGTGCATGGCACCAGTACTGCAAAGAAAGCTGAAAACATGAGAAAGGACCTATTATGAACCAGTGCTGTCAGAAAAGGGGAGACAAGATAATGTGGAGCCATGGAGGAAGTGAAGGACTTACAAAAGTGAAACCAATAACAGGAACAAAGCATAGAAACCAGAGTGATAATAACAGTAATAACTAATAGCACTTATTAGGTGCCAGACACTGCTCCACAAACTTTTAAAAACCTAGAGTATTTCATATAATCCTTGCAAAGCCTTGTTATCTCCCTTAACAGATTAGAAAAAAGAGGCCAGAGAAGTTACCTAACTTGTCTGAGGTCACAGGCTGGTAGGGCAGGATTTAGGCTCAGGCCACCGGACTGCCAGCACCACACCCTCACTCACTGTGCTGATGTGCACTGTGCAATTAAGGGGGATGGACAGTTGAGACTGGCGAGGAAGGAGGAAGGAGAAAGGGAGAGGACCAGAGAAGCACACAGACAGCAGACTGAGGAAAGGCACTCGGACGCCACTCAGCATTTTTCTCAGGTCAGCAGCACATGAAGATAGCCATTTTAGGAAAATTAGCTTGGCAAAATTGAGGGACAAGGAGAAGGAAGGCAACAACGGCAGGTACAGCAGTCTGGGTGTGAGATGACTCGGGCCGGGTATAGAGAAAAATCAACAGGGATGGAAAAGGGGTAAGTGGGTATGGACAGATTATGCGAGATTAAGAAGGTAGAAAACCAACTACACAGTCGTACGCCACTTTCTGAAAGCTTCGGAGAATTTGCAGAGGGACTTTGTTTCTGGCAAAGTCCCTTAGGGTGAAGCTCAAGATTGGTCACCACTGCTTACAATCCCGAACCTTTCCATTCTTTGAGAGTGTGATGCTGCTGACCTCATTTCCCAGCCTCTCAGCTTAAGAGTGCTATTGAAGTTGTCACTGTCAAATTCTGCTTACAGCTTTAGCAAAAAGATCTAGAAGGCTACCTCCTACTGACCTCTTCATCTCGATATTCCAAACAGGTATGGCATTAGACATTTCAGTCAGAGAATGTATTGCCACTGCAAAATTTGAAGGATTAGATGAATGCAGGTTTTCAAACCTGTGTTTCTAAAAATGGGACAAGAATCTTCATCCTATTATACTTCATGAGATCAAAATCTCTATTCTGACAAAAGAGGAGACATCTATGACTTTTTCGACATGAATGTGCTTGTTAAGCCTTAACCCTTTCTTCTCCTTTCTTAAGTGCTTGTACAAATAGCATGGTATAATACAACAGAATAAAATGGGAGTGAAAACCCGTGGCCTCCGTTCTGGTTTGATCACTCAACTACCTGTGCCGGTCACAGCCTTTCTGTGCAGAGGTTTCCCCACTCGTAAAGAAGAGGGCTGGCTTAGGTGACCTTTCCAAATCTACAACACCATGATCTGCAATCCTGATCTTTGTCTTTCTCAGAGAAATGAAAATTTAAAACGAGGAAAATGATTAAAGTGTTAAAACAATGTATTAGAGGAGAGATCTTCAGTATAATAGAACAGCACTTCTGGTACGGTTATTTTTAGAACATAAGCTGCTTAAGGACAGGGACCACTTTCAGTTTATTTCGTCTGTCATTGGAAAGAAAGACCGCACAGGCAGCAGAGAGGGCAAGGGGGCCTTCCTCGGTTCTGCATGTGAACCAGCAGACCCATACGCAGAGCGCCACTGGCTCCACAAGGCCCACGGTAGGTCTGGCCTGTGCTCTTTCCCACATCCTACTAACTTTTATTCACAATGGCATCCCCTCACCAAATGGAAATCCTGCTCACAGAGAAGCAACTAGCATTTTCTCTGGAAAACAGGAAAACAGAGAACTCTTTGGCTCTGACTGCTGCTAGAACTGTGGTGGCTGGTTCCCACAGTGACATGGAGCTCAGAGTGGCTGAGACTATGTGATGCAACGACAGAGCCAGCGTGAACAGGAGCACTTGGGGACGTTTCACTCAGACCTTGGGAAGCTGCAGTTGCAGCAGGCAACTGTAATTGTCCGTCACAGACATACTAGCAGATAGCAATAAAATCTAACGTGCTAATGAAAGGATCTAGATGGCATCGAGTGTAAGATCTGGGGAGTCAACAACTAAAAACAGCAGCGACCAGGACTTCTCTGCAACAATCACAATCCAGGCCTCTTCCCATGGTCCCTATATCCAAGGTAGAGGAGAAAGAGTCTCCTGAACCAGTGAACAAATTGGCAGCATGGCTGATGATCTTCAATATTGATGAAAACACAACCACAGAGTCCAATACAATCAGCTCTCCTTATCTGCAGGTTTCACATCTCCCTCCATGCAACCAACCACGTATCAAAACCCACAGATATGGGGGACAACTGTGTGTATTCTCCACTCGCAGATGGTTCAATCTGCAGATGTGGAACCCGTGGATACAGAAGGCCAACTACTGTGTGTCCAGCCAGCATTGCACTGCCTCCCTCTTAGGAACACTGAGGTGCAAGGGGTAAAGCACTGAGGGCTGGCTGGGGAATGGAGCCTGGTAACCTCACTCAGCCTCTCACGCCGATTTGCTCCGCATTCCCCTGTTGAAACATCTCGTGGGCTGTTCAGTGCCGTGAAGGAGGACGCTGGGGTCCGTTGCCTTAGCCCTCCCACCAACCTACTCAGCATCCCAGGCAAGACACTGAGCTCTGTCCCCAGGGCCCCATCACTGGGTGATGCTGACCCAGCACCTCACTGCAGCACAGGGAATGTCACCGGGCAGTGCTATCCTGGTAACTATGTAAGCTGGACAGGTGTTATTTACTGGTATGACATGATTATCATTCAGGCTTCATTTAATCCAGTAAGTGTTTAAAAATTAATATAAAGAGGGCTGGGCATGGTGGCCCATGCCTGTAATTCCAGCACTTTGGGAGGCCAAGGCAGGTGGATCACTTGAGGCCAAGAGTTCGAGACCAGTCTTGCCAACCTGGTGAAACCCTGTCTCTACTAAAAATACAAAAATTAGCTACGCGTGCAGCAGGCACCAGTAATCCCAGCTACTCGGGAGGCTGAGGCATGAGAATCATTTGAACTCGGGAGGTGGAAGCTGTAGGGAGCTGAGATTGTGCCACTGCACCCCAGCCTGGGCAAGACAGCAAGACTTCATCTCAAAACAACCAAAAAAACAAAGCTAATATAAAGGAAGACTCTGAGAACATGGGAATATTACTTTCTAAAAGGATCCTCTGTGTCCCTCTGCCCCTTACCTTGTCCTCACCTCCGAGCCCTTTCAGGCATTTACCCTGCCAGGCATGAGCCTAGAAATTGACAAGCACTCCCGCATTCAGCCTCACCACCACCCTAACCGAGCGGGCACTGTTGGCTCCACTTTACAGACGACGAAACTCAGGCCCGGAGAGGCTAGTGATCTGAGGAGAAAACCAAGGAGCCTGGGAAGGGGGAGCTGGGGAGAAGACACTGTCACAGGATTCAAATTCTGGCACTGTCCTTCCTAGTTATATGACCTTAGGCAAGTCACATAACCTCTCTGCTTCTTAGTTTCAACTATAAAATGTAACAAAGACTATCTCCCCCTGAAGAGACACTGTATGTAAAATGTAGTAGAGTCCATGGCACATAATTGGTGCTTGATACATGCTCAGTTGAACCCTAACAAGGTGCCAATTCCATTCAACAAACACTGTCAAGTGACTACAATATGAAAGGCACGGTGCATGGTGATGGCAATTAGGACAACTAAAAAAAAAATCAATTCGTTGATTTTGCAAAATATGAAATAAGACTTTAAAAACCAAGCGTCATTGTTTACTAAGTATTTAAATTAAAAGTAGTATTTTTCACAATCCTGAAAAAGTGGGGGGAGTATATCAGGAAAAACAGAAACAACATAGGCTCAGGCATTTGATAATTATAAAGAATTTCTGGAGGCTACTTAAGTAATAAAACTTATACCTGTACTGTACTTTTTCCTTTATTATTTTCTCTCCTCAGGCAGAATATAAACATAAAAACAGGGACCATATCTTACATTTCTCTCACATCCCCACAGTATCTACTCCATCCCTGGGGCAGACATAAAATATTCAGTAAGAATGCACGTCATGAAAGAGCGTGGTCTGTACCTTCAGGTCCCGGTGGATAATAGGGGTTTTGCATTGATGCAGGCGGGCAACAGCCTCACAGGTATCACAAAATATCTGGAGCACTTCGTTCTCTGTAAAGCCTGTTTGCAGGCGCTGGTTCATCAGGTTTACCACCTGGCCACCTGAGGGGGTACGTACAGGACAAAGGAGAGGTTATAAACATTCAGACTTGTCATTTAGTCTAAGAGAAGTGGTCTGGACTAACCACTGACTGAGCCAGGATTAAAACCTAGCTGTCTTGACTCCCAGCTTGGGGTTTGTTTTCTTATAATTCAGTGTCTCCTCTAATGCATCAAAAATCGTTTCTTTATTTTATAAAGCACCCCAGATGTGAGCTGCCCTCGTTATGTCTTCGAGATTAGTAGAACTGATAATATGGTCCTGCTGTAGTTGCCTGGTTATACCGTGTCCATTGTGTATGAGACATGGCCACAGCCTCAACTTGCCATATCTTTTAGTAAGAATCAGATGGCACAACAGGTCCAGGGAACAGGAAGAAGATGGTTTTATAGTCTGAACTTCAGGAACAGCTTAGTCTCTCTGGTTTCACTACTTACTGCTTGGCTTGCAGAAATGGTACCACCAACAATTAATCTCCAGGACCAAAAGATTGATGCCCTCACTTGCAACATTATCCAGATGCCTGGATGCTCCTACTGCCTGATCTCTAAACATTTTAGTATCCAAAAAGGGATGAGCAGGAGGAAACAAACAGTCAAGTTCAAATTTGGTAGTACGTTAGGAAATCAGGTAAATAGTTAATACAGTAAGGGCTGAAATTACTGGTTAACATCACATATTTTTGGGATTAGCAACATATTTAATTTATGGATAGTATCTTTTTTTTTTTTTTTTTTGAGACTGAGTCTCACTCTGTTGCCAGACTAGAGTGTAGTGGCATGATCTTGGCTCACTGAAACCTCCACCTCCTGGGGTTCAAGTGATTCTCCTGCCTCAGCCTCCCGAGTAGGTGGGACTACAGGTGTGCACCACCACACCCAGCTAATTTTTGTATGTTTAGTAGAAATAGAGTTTTACCATGTTAACCAGGATGGTCTTGATCTCTTGACCTTGTGATCTGCCCACCTCGGCCTCCCAAAGTGCTGGGATTACAGGCGTGAGCCACCGCGCCCGGCCTATGGATAGTATCTTAAGTGTAGGGAAAATGTTAATGGAACTAAGGGTGATTACAAAACACAGCACCAAACAGTAAGGCACTGACCTAAGACAAACCTCCAAACAATGGTTCGATAAAATGCAATTAACTATGAAAAAAATTCATGCTACAGTCTGAATTTCCCAAGATAAATGTTTTTTGAAACTTGAAGCTTTCAATGACTTTACTCCACTGTTAACAGCTGCATCATTTGAATATAGCCTCAACTTACTAGGAATTATAGCTTTAGAGCAAGGAGAGGAGGGTCACTTCCATTAGACGAAAAGGATTCTTTTACCCCGTAACACACGAATGATGGTAAGTGGGAAAGAGAACACACAAGTGAGGGAGTTGGGGAAGCTGTACTGTTTCTTTTGTCCATCTGGAGTTGAGTCTTTATTATGCACCTTCATCATTTGTTATATAGCATCACAAAGAACATTCATTCTCATTCTTATACATCCTCATTTATACACAAACACCAAACCTTCCTAAACCCAACAAAAATGGAGTTTTATATTATCTACACTTTCAACTGTCTGTACCATTATAAGAATAACAAAGAGTTGACAGCAGACTGTATCTTTTAGTTTTCTCATCTGTAAAACCAGAACATACCATAGAGTGCAGTGCACATTAAGTGAAATGACCCACCTAACCTTGACAATCAAAATGCTAGAGAAATGACAGCTTAAGGGGATGGTTCATATACATACCTCTACAAAAGTCCATCAGAATGAGCACTTCCCATACATCACCGCTACTCACATTGTTGATACTAGAATCAATGTAACCCACAATATTCTTGTGCCCTGACAGGTCCCTCTGTGAAAAAGAGATGAGAAATATATTGTTAGTTTCAGATGCCAATAGGACAGAATTAGCCAGTCAGTTCCATTAGCTCAGATAATTTAAATACAGAGATGATACAGGGTTGACAGAGAAGACTAAGGAGCAGGGTCAAGAACAGGTTTCCAGTGGTCCCTGAGATTCACAGCTAGATCTTCAATAGCAATTCCATAACCCCACTAAACCAGAGGACACTCCAGAACCTAAATTCTAGCGTCAAATGCACAGAGTGCCTACTTGCTTACTGCATCAGTGCTCCATGTAAACTAGAAGCAAAGACTCCCCTCTCCAGAAACACGGCAGGGGGTAAAGAGTAGAGACCGTATGAACTACTTAAATATATGAACTTCTAATTAAGAAAAATGAAATTGATGTTTTTCCTGGTTTTAGGGGACAAAAATTAATTCAACTTGACTTTTAAATAGTTCATACTGTTTTCTCCCTTTGGGAAATCTACCAAAAAAAAAAAAAAAAAAAAAAAAGCTATTTACAAAGTCTTGAAGGGACTACAATAGCATCCAGACCTAAGCATTTTGCTCATAATTAGGCCTTTCAAGCCAACCAACTGGGATATAAGATGGGCATGTTTCCAGCTCTTCAGTTGGAACTGCATGTGATCTCTCAGGGCTGCTTGGATGAATTTATTCATCCAACCAACATTTGTTGAGCACTTCCTATGTGTCAGGACCCATCTAGGAACTGGAAGTGGCCTCACATTTTGGTATAGTCCTTTCAACATCTCCAGAGAGGCAGCTCTTTGCAATGATCATGCTCAAAACCAAAGTAATTAAGAAGTAAGTTGAGGAAAGAAAAAGAAGGCAAGCTGGGTGATATGATTTTTGCACAAATGCAAGGTAAGGTTTTATTTTTTAAACTAGTTTTAATAAATTGTTCTACTTTTGTTTCAAAAGGGTGAGGGGGAAGGAAAACTTGTGGTCCCCTGAGAGTCACCATACAAACTTAGCAATTTGGACAGTGAGAACAGAAACTACCACCACTCTAATTAGATTCAGTTGTTCACAGTGAAAAACAAATTTCATAACAAAACAAGAGAAAACCCCACGGTATGAAGTGAACACACCTGAACCCTGGGCATCAAAGTTAAAACTCATTAGAGCCTTCCTCTGAGTGATGGATTGTGAATGACTATTGCCTCAGAAATGGCAGATGCAACAAAAGTTCAGACAAAAGTAGAAAGGCTTTGGAATTGGCAGATGGAAGTCATCGGAGACTTATGTGAGAGTAGTTTCAGAGAACGGATGGGATGGTAGTGAGAATGAAACTGGATTGCACAGAATGGAAGTTGAGTGAGTAGGGCCAGGGTCTACAGATTACTCTTGCAGAACATTTGTGCCTAAGGCAGCAGCACCGAGGAGAAAGGGTGTTTAGGATGGGAAAAAACTGAGCACCAGAAAGAGGAAGGAGTCAAGAGAAGAGAGCTTTAAGATACAGGAGAGGATGATGATAATTGACAGAAAAAGTCCTATAAGTAGAAGGGTGGGATTAAGAGTACTGTTCGAGGGACTGGTCTTAGGGTAACTTTTTTTTTTTTTTTTTCCCTGGCAAGCAGGAAGGAGGCAAGGATGGCTGTGCATGTTGATTTAAGGCGGAAGAAAAAGAGAACTCAAGTGAGTTCGGATCTGTTGTTTTATTTTGGTAGAGAACCAGGTCATTTCCTAAATGTATAGGAATGACAAAGAAGTTTGATGAGACAAAAGACTTACAGCATCTGCTTTGGATAATAGATAAGGGAGATGATGAAGCTAACATACATTCTCTAGAATTCAAGTTTTTCCCAAACAGAAAATGATTTTGGGACTCACATTTTAGTGGCCTATCCTTCCCTCTGCTTTTCCATCTCATCATCAACCCATCCAGAACTCATTTCCATTTACACATTCCTGAGAGTAGAAGAAGTGGAGAGAAGTTCTTTGCAACCAAAATAAAGATCATATCCTCCAAATATTCAAAGATGAATGAAAGACTCATGTCCTTACATTGAACTATTTGAAAAAGAATCAGCAGTGTTGCCTCCGAGTTGGTCTCATCCTAAGAGGACTAATAAAGCATCTGGCAGAAAGCAAAAAAATATTGGTAGAACCATGCTATGGTTTGAAGGCTTGTGTCCCCTCCAAAATTCATGTTAAAACTTAAACTCCCAATGCAATAGTATTAAGAGATGGGGCCTTTAGGGGGTGATTAAGTCATGAGGGCAGAGCCCTCATGAATGGGATAAGCAACTTTATAAAAGGGCTGGAGGGAACTAGCTAGGCTCGTTTGTCCTTCTGCTTTCCACCATGTAAAGACAGAGCATCCCCTCCAAAGAAAGCAGCGCTCAAGGCACCATCTTGAAAGCAGAGACCAGGCCCCTACCAGACACTGAACCTGTCCCCACCTTGATGATTTTGGACTTCTTACCCTCTAGAACAATAAGAAAATAAATTTCTCTTCTGTATAAACTACCCAATCTCAGGTACTTTGTTATAGTAATACAGATGGACTAACACAAGCCAACAGGAGGTAAAGAGGCATTAAAGGACCAAAACTGGATCATCAACATCTGCAGATGGCACCTTGCCAAGATGTTTGCCAAGATGTCTGCTGAACAGTTCAAGTCCGAATTGCTGTTCATTTTCTCTTCTGCAGATATCCTGAGATACGTCCAAGCAGAAAAGACCCCCTCTTTGGAGAGAGAAAATGGCATTTGGCTTTAATGACCTGAAGATGCAGCAACATCTCAGATTTTAGAGTAAAACTCCACTAGTTTATAACTCTGATGGAGAAGATCTGTTTGAATGGCTGTGAAATGTAGAAAAGGTCAAGAGAAAATCTTACCACAAGTTGAGAATGACTCACATTTAAGGTACACTGGCAGTAGCTCCTGCCCTGTTCTCAGCAGCAACAGGCCAGAGAGGGCCAAGCTTTCCTCTGATTTTGGTTAGAAGACCAGATCCAGACTTACAGAACAGAAATGGATGGAGCGGTATAGAATGGAAACACATAGGGAATACCTCAGCTACAAACTGCTTACTCAGAAAAAGGCAGGATGAGGGAAAGATGCTTTGCTGACCTTGCCTACAACTATTATTTGGAGTACCAGAATTATGATGAGTATTAGTCAAAATGTGGTTTTCAGGGAAGTGGGGAACGTTTAGTTAAACCATAGATAAGATCACTACTACATGATTTAAGCAGCGATAAGTTTAAAGAGTTTATGTTATTTTAAGTTTTATTTTTAAATCATCATTAAACAACATTAATAAAGTATTGAAAAACTATTAGAAGACCTGCTTTATTAGATACTTTTAAATGGTTTGTAGTTACCTTATTTTCATATTTAACTGCTTGAAGCAGTGAAAAACCTTTTTCATAAATACATGCAAAAGCTACCAGTTTTGAAAACCAGGCCTTCAACCCAGGTCCTATAGATTATCACAAATCCCAAGTTTATCTGCTGCCTTAATTAATGGTGCTTGAAGCGCAGCGTGGTATACTATCCCTGGCCTCAAAATTCCTGTGACAGAAGAATTCCTAGTAAAGAATCTTAAGGCCTTATGAAAAAAAGGGAAGATTCAGTTTCTAGGTATATCTATTTATGTTCAAGAAAACAAATATAGCATTCTAAATTGCCCATCAATAACATGTCACTCACTTCAAAACAGTAAAAATGAACATTGCACATAAGTATATGTCATTAGCTCAGGCTACCCTTCCTTGGATCTTCAGCATGACATGTGCAAATCCATGCTGATGGAAATTTGCTTACTGCTTGCATTTGCAGATAGTACGTTTTCAAAGAAGCATCGTCTACCTGCTTTGACCCTCCTTTCAAACATTCAACGTTTTCTGACTTTATGACTCAGCACTACTGCTGTCTACTTCTGGGATCACATTATAGTTCCACAGAACCTCTTAAGCAAATTTCCGCTTCTTCTTAACTTAAAGATGAAAGAAAGCAGTTCTAAGGTCTACAATTAGTTTCTCTCAAGATTGCTTTTTTTTTTTTTTTTTGATACGGAGTCTTGCTCTGTCACCCAGGCTGGAATGCAGTGGCACGATCTCAGCTCACTGCAACCTCCGTCTCCCAGGTTCAAGTGATTCTCCTGCCTCAGCCCCCTGAGTAGCTGGGATTACAGGCGCATGTCACCACTCCTGGATAATTTTTGTATATTTAGTAGAGACACGGTTTCGCCATGTTGGCCAGGCTGGTCTCGAACTCCTGACCTCAGGTGATCCACCCACCTCAGTCTCCCAAAGTGCTGTGATTACAGGTGTGAGCCACTGTGCCCAGCCACGAAGATTGCATTATAAATGTCTTCTGCTTTACTATTCCCTCTCCCCTCTTCTCTCTATAATCCTAAATTTCCTTTATAATTCTTTCAAGAGGAGTTATTTCCTGGCAAACAAAAACTATCAAGTCCAGTGCAACAGTAAAACAAAAAGCATTTTGAGATCTAGGCTGGCCTTGGAGTCTATTGGAGACCTTTTTGGACTTCTGCTATATAAGAAGTTCCAGTTATTTTTCTCTTCTCTATACCCATATTTATTCTACCTTTCCAAAGTCTTTTTTGTTTTTTGTTTTTTTTTTTTTTTTTGAGACAAAGTCTCACTGTCACCCAGGTTGGAGTGCGGTGGTGTGATCTCAGCTCACAGCAACCTCCACCTCCTGGGTTCAAACAATTCTCATGCCTCAGCCTCCTAAGCAGCTGGGATTACAGGTGTGCATCACCACGTTTGGCTAATTTTTTGTATTTTTAGTAGAGACGGGGTTTTGCCATGTTAGCAAGGCTGGTCTCGAACTCCTGACCTCAAGTGATCTGCCCGCCTTGGCCTCCCAAAGTGCTGGGATTACAGGCATGAGCCACCATGCCCAGCCACCAAGATTCCATTATAAATGTCCTCTGCTTTACTACTCCTTGGTGCTGAGCTTATAGGCATGAGCCACTGTGCCTGTCCCCTTTCCTAAGTCTTACTCA